TGGCAGCAGCTACGGGTTCGGTGTCTGGTATTGGGTTTTCTTCCTCGGCGTGGCCATGATTGCCCAGTCATGGGTGGAAGCCTATGTGTTCTGGCTTTCGTGGTCTGAACTTGCCATCCCCATTCGCGCTCAACTCTCTGCACTCATCTTTGAAAAGTCAATGCGGAAGAAGGACGTCAAGGGTGCCGGAAAGGCCAAGGAAAAGGAGAAGGCCACTGAGTCAGGCGAGCCTCCTGTCGTTGGGCCAACAGGAGAGGGAACACCAGCCGATGCGCCGCCAGCCGAGCCAGAGGCCGAGGCCGAGGATGATTCTGATGAGCTTAAGAAGGGCAAGCAGAACACGGTGAATCTGATTGGCGTTGATGCGAAGCGTGTCTCGGATTTTTCTACCTACCAAAACATGTTCCCTGGCAGTCTTTTCAAGCTCATTGTTTCACTGACCTTCTTAACCCACCTTCTGGGCTGGAAGGCTCTTCTGGCGGGCTTCTCCGCCATGCTTGCCATTATGCCAGTGAACGTCCACTTCTCCAAGAAATATGCCGCCGCTCAGGATAAACTGATGAAGGTCAGAGACGAGAAGATGGCGGTCGTTACCGAAGCCCTCCAGGGTATCAGACAGATCAAGTTCTCTGCTCTGGAGCCAGAGTGGGAAAGCAAGATTGGCTCAGTCCGAGACAGGGAACTTGGTGCGGTCTGGAGTGTGTTCATGGCCGACACAGCCCTCCTTGCCTGTTGGGTCACGAGTCCTATCTTGCTTTCGGCTATATCCTTGGCCGTCTATGCCGCTTTGAACGGTGTCCTGACGCCATCTGTTGCCTTTGTCAGTCTTGGTGTCTTTAGAGGTCTCGAAGTAACGCTGTCGGTAATTCCTGAGCTTACAACTGATCTGCTGGATGCGTGGATTTCGATCAAGCGTATGCAGGAATATCTGGACTCTTCCGAGGTGACGGTCGTCTCGGAGGATGCTGAAGAGGTCTCGTTCCAAAACGCTTCTATTGCCTGGCCTTCGGATGAGGATATCAAAGAGGAGGACAGATTCGTCCTTCGCAATATCAGTGTCACATTCCCGAAAGGGGAGCTATCGGTCATCTCCGGCAAAACAGGAACAGGAAAGAGCTTAATGCTGTCCGCTATTCTTGGCGAGGTTGATGTCCTTGAGGGTAAATTGTTTATACCCAAAGCCCCTTCACTGGCTGATCGTCACGATGACAAGGCCAACAAGGACAACTGGATCATCCCTTCGGCCATTGCCTACGTAGCCCAGATTCCCTGGATCGAGAACGCAACCATCAAGGAGAATATCCTCTTTGGGCTGCCTTTTGACGAAGAGCGCTACAAGAAGACCATTGAAGTTTGCGCACTGAAGAAGGATTTGCAGATGCTCTCCGATGGCGAAAATACGGAAATCGGCCAAAACGGTATCAACCTAAGCGGTGGCCAGAAATGGCGCATCACACTGGCTAGAGCCATCTATTCCCGCGCCGGTATTCTTGTCCTTGACGATATCTTCTCGGCCGTGGATGCTCACGTCGGCCGCCACATCTTTGACAAGTGCCTTAACGGTGTTCTGGCCACTGGCCGCACACGAATTCTCGTTACCCACCATGTTGCCCTCTGCGAGCCCAAGACCAAGTACCTCGTGGAGCTTGGCGATGGCCGTGTGTTGGAGGCCGGTTCGGTTGACAAGCTGCGCGAAGCAGGGACTTTGGATCAGATCAAGCGTCTTGAAGAATCTCCCGAGGAAATTGAAGCCGACGAACAAGCCGACACTGCTGTGAACTCGGATGATTCTGTTGATGGCGATGGACAACAGGCCGAGGCAGATGCTAACGCTTTGAAGAAGGTCAACTCTAAGACTGCCGCTCGCAAGTTTGTTGAGGACGAGGGACGCGAAAAGGGAGCTGTCAAAAAGCAGATTTATTACCAATATCTGCTGGCCAGTGGAGGTTGGAGTTACTGGACCATCGCTCTCATGATTTTCGTTGTCGTCCAGGCGTTCAGTATTGGCCGATCATGGTGGCTCAAAATTTGGACAGCGGATTCCGATGAGCAAGCTTTTGACAGTCAGCATTTCCCCAGTGCTACGATAGAGCAAGACTTTGCCTATGGCACCGGTATTCAGCAGACGTCTTTCCACACGATGGCTGCTCCATCCATCACCAGCCATAACAGCCTCACATACTACCTCAGCATCTACGTACTTCTGGCCCTCATCTCATCCATCGTCGGTACACTCAAGTTCCTCTACGTCTACATCGGCTCCATCCGCGCAAGCAGGGGCTTGTTCCGGAAACTTAACTTCACCATTCTCCGCGCCCCCATTCGCTGGCTTGATACCGTTCCTGTCGGACGCATCTTGAATCGCTTCACGTCAGACTTTAACATTATCGACTCGCAAATGGCCAATTCGGTCAGCTTTGGTATGAACTCTTTTCTGAACCTGCTTGGTGTCATTGTTGCAGGCCTCTTTGTCTCCCCGTACATTGTGCTGCTTGCTGGTATCCTGTTGTTCATCTGCCTCTACTATGCAATCCGGTATCTCGACGGCGCTCGTCCGGTGAAGCGGCTGGAAAGCACTACCAAGTCACCCGTGTTCGAGCAGTTCGGCTCCGCTCTCTCTGGTGTCGCCACCATTCGCGGTTTCGACAAGTCAGAGGGTTATATCAAGCGCATGTATCGCAAGGTGGATGAGTATTCCATGGCGACATGGCATCTCTGGCTTTTCAACAGATGGATGGGCTGGAGAATGTCGCTTGTGGGCTCTTTCTTTGCCTCCTTCGTCGCTATCCTCATTTTGGTCACCCCTGGCATCGACTCGGCTCTGGCTGGCTTCGCGCTCGCTTTCGCTCTAGAGTTCTCCAACTGCGTCATGTGGACGATTCGTCTGTATGCCAACGTTGAGCTGAACATGAATGCCGCCGAGAGAATTGTTGAGGTAGGTTTTGAACTTACTGTCTTCTACCTGACCCCCTGCTCTTTTTATTAACAAATCCTGTGTAGTACGCCTCCCTTCCTACCGAATCCCTCGAAGGCATCAGCCCGCCCGCCGCGTGGCCCACCGACGGCCGCATCGAAGTCAAGGACCTCGTCGTCAGCTACGCCCCCGACCTTCCTCCTGTCCTCAAGGGCGTTAGCTTCAGCATTAACCGCAACGAGCGCATCGGCGTCGTCGGCCGCACCGGCGCCGGAAAATCCTCGCTCACCCTTGCCCTCTTCCGCTTCATCGAGGCTAGCTCCGGCAGCATTCATATCGATGGCATCGATATCTCCACCATCAAGCTTCACGACCTGCGCTCTCGCCTGGCCATCATCCCGCAGGACCCCGTCCTCTTCTCCGGCACCGTACGCTCCAACCTCGACCCGTTCAACCACCAGACCGATGCCGAGCTGCGCGAGTCCCTCGAGCGCGTTCACCTCGTCGGCGACAGTAATTCCAACTCCGGGAGCGCCACCCCTGCACCAGAGGCCTCATCGTCTTCGGCCACCGGAGGCATCCAGAACAAGAACACCAACATCTTTCAGAACCTGGATTCCCAGATCTCCGAAGGCGGTCTCAACTTGTCTCAGGGCCAGCGCCAGCTCCTCTGTCTTGCGCGCGCCATTGTCTCGAGGCCGAGAGTTATGGTCCTGGACGAGGCCACCTCGGCGGTGGATATGCACACGGATGCGTTGATCCAGCGGTCTATTCGCGAGGAGTTCACTGATGCAACGCTGCTCGTTATCGCTCACCGTTTGAGCACGATTGCTGATTTCGATCGCATTTTGGTGCTGAGTGATGGCAAGGTTGCCGAGTTTGGGACGCCGAGGGAGCTGTGGGAAAAGGATGGTGGGAGTGGAGTGTTTAGGGGGATGTGTGAAGAGAGTGGTGAGAAGGAGAAGTTGAAGGACATTGTTTTTGGGAAATAAAAGGTTCTGGGGGGTCCAAGGGATGGATTTATGGTCACGAACGAACGAAAAAACGGACGAAATCCGTGGGATATTGGAATTTGGGAATAGAAAAGTACTGCGCCTGGGGAACATCCATCCCTTGAGAGGTTTGAAAGCAGACAGACTCACCGTATTGATATACTGAAAAAATAGATACATTATTTGAGATTGAACGCTTTATGTCTGGACCAGACACTTGCAAACTTGCAGTTCTCGTCAGTGAAAGAATCGGTCTGCACAATCTAATGTCGGTTCGTGTTCGTTGATCGCAACTTAGTCCCCATAGTACCTTGGACGAGACCTATGAGTTGTCCCAAACATCTTGATGACGCATTGAGGTCATTAGCTATGGATGGGATATGTTTAATAATTAATTGATCCGAAACGCGCTTATGAGATTTGACATCACGTATCTAGCTAGGGTCGCAGTTGGGATATCCAAGCGAGCCAAGATACCGGTAGATCAGCTCTTGAATATGGAACGACACGTATTTCTAGGTATGAAAGGCCTAGGGAACTTGACCAGAGGTCTCGAGCTGACAAAGAGGCCAAGATTAGACTATATCTAGTGTCAGTATTCTATCTCGATATCAACACCTCGGATAACCTCGATATCGGAAATACAGCCAATTGTCCATTCTGTCCCCAATCTTGATTTCCAAAACATTCATCTTCAACCGGCGACAGGAAAGAAAAAAAATAATTTTTTTTAAAAGAAAAGGAAAAGAAAAGCCGCGTCCTGTTACCAAATAATGACTGTTGCCCATTGTTACACCAGGACATATTCAACTATACACCGGAAGCGGTATACCGAAATGGTGACCGACTCTTTTCTTGATAGTGACCTCATGACCCGCGGTTTTGAGTTGGGAGATAAGTCAGTTCCCACAATAGGCAAGGGACCGCCGATGTTACAGGGGCTTGCAGGGCAAAGCAAGAAGGTCTAAGAGATAAGATAACGAATAGGGCGGGGTGGCGGGGTAGCCGTCCTGCTAGCTTCCGCTCTTTCTCCGCTCTCCGGGGACCGCTACTCGGCAGGCCCCGTTGTCACCACTCGCTGGGAGTCGGTCGGATGCGCTGTCTTTTGGCCGACATCACCCCTGGGCAGGCTAAAGAATGGTCTGGGGAACGGAGGTACTAAACAATGAAAGACCCGGGAGAATATGGATGGGAAGGGGAGGAGGGATGAGAGGCGAGTTTGTACGATACACTTTTCCAGTCTTCAACTCGAGACAAAATTCATGCCTAGTACCTACCGACTTGGTGACGACTACAACACACAAGTGCTCATTCTCTTTTCGAATTCCCATCAATTAGCCTCTTCCACCATCCAGCCATTCTTCACATACACAAAATAGAAGGCATCCCCAACCCCATAACCACTAGGTCACATTCACCACCACCAAAACAACCACCATGGCGCCCCCAACACCACCCATCCTCAACGGCCACTCTGAGACCGTCATCGCCCAAACCTGCCAAACCTACAACCTAACCCCCTCCGAATTCGCCCAGCTGCGCGACCGCGCCGTAGCCGCCAAGGCCACCTCGTACAGTCCCTACAGCAAGTTCCGGGTCGGCGCCGTTTTGCTGTCCAACGGCAAGGTCGACGCCGTCACGGGAGAGAGGTCATCATCAGAGGGAACATACACGCCGGGAGCCAACGTGGAGAACGCCAGCTACCCCGTGACCACGTGCGCGGAGCGGGTGGCCTTCGGTAGGGCGATTACCGAGGGACACCGCGGGTTCAAGGCGGTGGCAGTGGCGACGGATATTAGCCCGCCTGCTAGTCCTTGTGGCATGTGTAGGCAGTTGTGAGTTCCCCCATATCCATACAGCTAGCTACGCCCTTTCGGTGTTTCCTCTTTTTCTTTTTCTGTTTCTTTTTCTTTTTCTTTTTCTTTTTCTGTTTCTTTTCTTTTTAAAAGAGAGAAGGCGAGGAATAGATATGCTTTGCTGACTGACCGGGCTTTTGCAAATATGCGTATAGTATCCGCGAGTTTTGCGAATTGAGCATGCCTATTCTCATGTTTGATAAAGATGAGAATTTCAGTGTTTTGCGGCTTGAAGATGTGAGTTATTACCTTTTCGTCCTTGCTTGTCCTTTGACCTTTGGCGTCTCGCGAGAGTTCAAAAGGGGTTTCCTGACATTTTTTTGATACCTAGCTTCTCCCATTGTCGTTTGGCCCTGATCAGATGGGTATTGAGGGCGCTGCTTAACTGTTTCCACATGATGGTCTCAGGGAAAGACACAGAAGAGTCTCACAATCATGTACACTTGATCAACTTAGGTGTCAGGAGCCGAGCGGAGCGGACAGTTCAGGGAGTCAGGATCATGTAAACATTAGGGGCAAAGCCCCATGTATTCTTCATGACGCAGTTTGCACTCATACTTGTAGACGTTCCAGCTGAGGAGAATCATGGCATAATGAGCCCAAATCCTGATTAACACAATCAATCCCAGTGTCTGACGTACATTACTTCTATCCGACACGCAGTTTCGCTGTGTGGTCCTTCCAGCCTAGAGTAAGCTACTTGAGTCAGGAAATTGCCCAGGTAAGAATCACGTCCGTACTATCTTGATGATTTGTCAACCCCAACAAGACAACCGCCATGCGATGAAAGAGAAACAGACAACATGCAATGAATGGACCCAGGAAAAGATCCCACAAAAAAGGAAACATGACTCCAGACAGCACCACCAGACCCCAATGATCAGACTCATTTCGCCCTTTGCCCTAATGCCCTTCAATATCCAAACCCATCATGTTGATGCATAGGACACCTGCCCGGGTGTCTCTCCCACCACGCACTTATACACGCTCTGTGAAACCTGCACAGACACTCCAACCTAGCCATGGCCACCCCAGGCTCAAACTCCTCCAGACAAATAGTGCACTCCGCCGAGTCCACGCAGTCTTTCTCCGTCGCTGTGTATGGAAACATTCCGGTCCGCCGTGGCGGCGCTGGTGGTAGTGAAGAAGTATTGGCTCCGCTGCTTCCCTCTCCGTTCTCGTCAGTCACTGCTGGACGCACACTGCCGTTATACGCGCTGTGCGTGGCTATACATTGGTTTATGTGGGATTCGCGCAGAGTCTCAAAGTTGGGAAGATTGCGTGATGGAAGCTCCCTATGGCAGACCGGACACTCATCTTCCTCGGGAATGATGTGTTGTTGTTGATGATGATGATGATGGTGATGGTGACGGCTGTGTGATCGTGGAGTTGGAGGTAAACGGCGGTTGACATCGGGACTGGATGACGAAGACGGTCCAGCTGAAGGTCCAGGCCGCTCACCAATATCAAGTAAAGACCGGTACCGTTGTTGAGATGTTAGCCCACGATACGGGTGAGAATGGGAAGAGGAGCCGGACTGGTAGTATACCGGCGGGGTACCAGACATGATACGGCTCTCCATCGGGGCAGTGGAGATAAATATGTTGTTAGATCCAGATGGCAACGTCGTGACCGTGGGTTGCTATTGGGCAACGCTCGTTAGGTCTCAATCTTCAGAAAAACAGGTTGAGGGAAATAGATAATCATGAAAATTACAGAGAGTCTCACGAACCAGAGTTACACTTCTATTTCTGAACTGTCCATCAGATGAGGGCGACGGCCCGAAATACGAGCTCCATCTGTTACTGTAGTCGGTCGAGGCGGCTTCACCACCACCGCCCTGAGATCCACCGGCGACATTGCCGTGAGACCGCGAATGGCTTGAACCCTGGGCTTGCGTTTGCGGCGGAGCCGTGTTGGGATCTGGAACACAGGGGTTGCATAACCTGACCCGTTCGCCGCCGCCGAGGACACTGAAGTCCGGGGATCGCGGGTCTCCACCTAAAAACGAGCCCGCGTATCTCGGAGCTAAACGGGGCGTGCCGGCCGGCTGTACGATATACTGGTACGGAATTGTGATTCTATGGGGCGAGCACGAATTACACACCACACGCCCGCATTTTCTGGACAGAGGTAAGTAGCTAGTTTTTGATGTCGTGGCCAGTTCAACAACATACCTGCAATGATGCTTTCTGACAAATATGCTAAACTGGGTATGGCAAATGGGACAATAAGTCACCTCGGCGTCTGGCTGCCACCGGGGCAGCACTATCTCCTCCAATACCCTGCGCTGTGCCGGAGGTGGTTGTTGAGACAGGCCTCGCACCAACCTCGGTGAAAGATCTGTGGTAGGAGTTGGTGGGCTTTCGAATACTTCGCGCAGTCTCGAAGGTACACCACCACGCGAGGGTCCAGGGCTCGGCGTGGTTACCGGCCCTGACCCATACTCACCGGTACTTGTAGCATGTTGTGCAAAATATCCAAGCTGTGGCTGGCCTCTTGTTTGCACCGGGGAATCACTGAGGGTAATTAGGTTTTCGGCCGACCCCGTGAGCGGTGTTGTAGGTAAGTTCTCGGTGTTGACTGGAAATGTGCCGTCCCCCTGTTGTTCCCCCGGTACGGAAGGATGATTTGTTCCCGCCACCGTGGTTGTCTCATACCCGCCTCTTGCCGGGCTTGAAGGCAAAGGCGAAACGCCCCGAGAAGCATTCGGGCTGGACATGACTACACCTCCCTCATCCTCGCTCTCGCTCAAAGGAGACACATCCCCAAGTTGTGGTTGTTCCCCGTCGGACTGGTCTGGTTGATCTGGGCGTGCCCTACCTTCGTCATCACCCTGGGATTCGCCGTCCGATATCACTCGCTCCACCACGTGGGTAGGGCAGTCAAAGTAGTGGGAGCATTCCTGATCATGGAAGGTCGAGTTCCGCCATTGGCATATTGGCCGCTGTGCGCTAACAGTAGGATGACGGCTTCGGGCATAGGGCGAATCGGACTCTGAATCGCTGCTAATGTTTATAACTGCGTCCCGGGAGGAACCGGGAGCATCACGGGTAGCCATAGCTGGGCAAGGGGTTGTCGCTTGGTAGTCTGTATATCGTACAGTGTTGAAAGGTGGATAACTGGCTATTCGGGGCTGGCTGAGAGTATTACTAGTGGTATTTGGAAAGGCAGAAAGGGCACCAGGCCCAAGTTGAATATTCGGGGCGCTTGCGGTGGTGTGAGGCGAGGCGAGATGCGAACACAAGGCTGCGGTGGGGGATCAGGAATCAACACAGAGAGCCATTCAAATGCGTTCGTTTCTGGAATGATTCTTGGATGTCCACAACCTATCGATTGGCCTTCTCGAGAGGCGAAAACGGAATTATGGGACCGAGGCGGTGACGGTGGTAGGCATGGCTGTTTTGGCAGGTAGAGAGGCGGATGGAAGGTGGTGGAGGTCAAGCCACTCCGTCGTCATTCATCAATGGACCTAAGACGGACGACGACGACGGCGATCTCAGAAAGATGGTGCGACGGTTCACTCTGGGGAGCAAAGAACTAAGCAAGTCGCGAAGTCGACGGAAGGCGTATTTCAGAGTCCGGCTACAACACGGAACCGTCAAATCCCACGAGGAAGATGGTCCGTTTGCCGGCGGCGATTTGCAAGTGGAAAGTTGGGGTGCAGTCCCTCAGCGCGTGTGGTAGAGAGGCAAGGGACGGGAGCAAGGCGGCAGTGGAAGGATTCCGTCGCGAGCCTCTCCGCCCGCCGCAGAGGTACCTCTAGTTCGCTCGGTTCCCCTCCCCCCGATTGAATGCCCGGCCCGGGTCTTTATCACCAAACCTTATCTTAACCGCCCTCCCATACCTCAGGTTGGAAGGACTCGGGTACTGTCAGCTGCTGTCAGGGGGCTCTGTCAGGTGCTGAAACCACCGTTGCAGGGGGTCAGCTAACATCCCCGGTCCACTTTTGTCTTCTTGGAGCAACACCTCATGACCCTCGAGAGGACTTGAGACACTGCAGCCTTTTTTTTTCTCCATTTTCCTCCTAAACCTACAATATCGACTCTTAAACACAGCCGGCAATCCGGCTCAGATCTCTTTGTTGGTATTTCTTGAGTTTCTTGGGGCAAGTAAAGCCCGCCATGTTCTTCCCCTTCCTTATATCACTGCCTCTCAAACGACCTGCCAAAGAGCCAAGTAGACAAGTTCCCCTATGCGGGCCTGACACAAGGCGCACTACTATCCGCTATCTTCGTCCTTACTACGATTTTCTCGTACACTCTTTCGTATATTGGAACCTCGACCAACGTCGAAGCTACGTATACGGTGCATCCTAGCCAACCTTTTCCAGTTGTGGCCGTCAATATGGTGTCAGCTCGCTCATTGCCGATCGCTTCATACAGCTTCAGTCGTTCAAAAACATCAGCCGGTGTGGTCTCTTTCAGAAGCACTGTGATCAGAGCTGCTACGTCCTTGATCGCCTGGCCAGCTCCTTGGCCTTGGCCTATTTGTGTAAGTAATTGGACAAGGAATTGAGCATAGTCTGAACTCACTAGTGTAGATGTAAAGTGGTGGCCGGCGTCTCGAAGAAGCACTATTATCCCATTTGTTAATGTTGTGATTAGGGAGGTAAGTGATCAGTAAGGCAACGTACAACGAACAAAAAGTGTCTAATGCAGGGGGTGAGCTCGACCAACCCGTCTAGTCGCCTTCTCGAGGTTGACTTGCGTATTTATATGGCACATTAACTTTGTTGGTTGAGGCAACCACGGCATAGCATTATTTCTGGTGACCGGGATGTATCCGGCACTGGCTTGAATATCCATTGTGCGGTTTCTGTGCGTTCAGGAAGGACTCCGAAAGGAGGGAGGTCATTGCGCCCGTAGATCCAAGGGCAAGGGAAGTGGGAAAGGTAGTTGTCCCAGGTGATTGGAAGTAATGACACCCGGATAAGAGATGATGCTCAGTCAATGTGCCGAGTTGGCTGAACTCGATTTCTGACACCCATAATAACTCAGAGGATACCAGATATAAACCTGGTATTTGGCGATACGGAATGTGGGAAGCCACATGTTTTTCCCCAAGACATTGGGCGATCAGGGTCGGATCATACATACTATGTGCCGGAGTGGGGGTTCAAGTTGTGTTGCGTAGTTATACGGAATAGTAGTGGCGCCTAGGAAGAGCGGCAACCGCTCGATGGAATCATACCTCTAGGTAATTGCGCTCTCACTTCAAAAGGTCTAGATGTCACAAGCAAAGGCAGCTGCACAGAGTACCATCTAGGTTGTACACAGGTTGCTTGGACATGACTGGACTTGTTAAAGTTTGCACACCAAGTGCTCCTGCAAGTTGGGATTGGGATTTGTTTCTGGCCCCGAGCTAGCACTGATTCTTGCCCGACCATCTTTCAGTGTTGCGAGGCACTTTCCGAGCTCCATCAAGCTCGGCAGTCGTTACCGCCGGGCCTGGAAAGGTCCAACAATGAGGTGCTTCGTGGTGGGCCATAAGGTCGTCAAGCTTATGTCCCTCTCGTCCCAAGACTTTTCCGTTTTCCAACTCCCAACGCTTGAGGGTATACGGGCTGTTGATACTTGAGCTTAGGGTGAATATCTCATCTTTGTAATTTGCAGCCCCGTCAACCTGTATCCCGTCGAACTTTTCGAAGAACAATGACCCCTCCGTTGGTTGCCCTGATAACCGCGGGCAGCGCTGGTCTCGGCGCCGCTACTGCCCGTCTCTTCGCCCGGAACGGCATCCGCCTAGTCATCAACTACGACAGCAACGGCCAAAGGGCATACGACCTTGTGGAAGAACTCACGAATATCTCCCCGCTAACAGCAGCTAGCACAGATCGCCAGGACAACTACGTTGCCCTCAAGGCTGACTTGGCCGAAAAGGATCAGATCAGCCAACTTGTCGACAACACTATATTCATCATGGGTAAACTCGACATTGTCTTCTCCAATGGCGCCTGGATCCGTCTCCGAGACATCAACGATCTGGATGACAACGTGAACGAGGAAGACTGGGATACGTGCTTCAACATGAACGTCAAGTCCCATCTCTGGTTGATGCACGCTGCGAAACCTTATCTGGACCAAACGGAAGGTGTCTTCATCACCACTGCTTGTTTGGCAGGTGTCATAGTTAGCGGGAGTTCGCTTGTAAGCACTGACCTTGTTTGATGCCCGTCCCCTTGCCTAACGAAAAGTCCTTGAAGTAACATTCCCTATTGCAGGCCTACTCCGTCACCAAGGCAGCACAAATACATTTGGCCAAGGGATTGGCACAGATTGCGGCACCCAAAATCAGAGTCAATACTGTATCTCCGGGCCTTATGCTTACGGTAAGCTGGCTCCAAGCTTGGTCACCGAAACACATGCTGATGTTCACAGGACTGGGGTCTTCAGTTTCCACCCGAAAAGCAGGAAGAAGCGAGGGAGAGATCAAAGCTCAAGCGTTTGGCGGCAGTACAGGCACGTTGTCCCTTCTCCCATCTCAACTATCACGCCTCTCTGACATGTCCCGTGACCCTCAAAATAGGATGTTGCAGAGCAGGTACTCTGTTTCGTCAAGTCCAAAAGTGTAACAGGAGTGAACGCCATTATCGATGGAGGAATGGCACTCTGATGACAGTGGCTCATGGAAAACATCGATGGACCACACTCCGCAAGCACCAGATGTATATTATATTCCACAAAAGGAAAAGGGGGGAGCAAAGAGAATCTGAAGACTCTCAACAAGAAACCAGGAAAGAAAAGAGAAAAAAAGTTGTGACTCGGATACCGGGAGTCGAACCCGGGGCTGTTGAGAGAGCAGTCACTCCTAAGAAGTGAGAGTCAACGATGTTACCGCTACACCATACCCGATCAGGAATGGTTCCGATTTGTTGAAGGTAAGCTAGAAGCAGCAGTTTATAACTGCACAGTCATTGCTTTCCAAAGCATCATGCGCGCAACTCAATTTCGAAGATCAATATCACATTTCTTTTGCTCTTCAAGAATACCGAAGAACAAAGGTGATCATATCGGTTGAATGTTCCATTTTACATAGACTTGATGGAGCTGTGCAAAGATCCAGGTGTACAAGCAAGAGAAGCGAGACAACTGAAGGTTGGAGACTTACTCGCCAATCCCCCGATCCGCATGCCATTCAGTGAATACATGAAGCCCCAAACATAACGAAGTGCTCCAATAAGAAGAACGGCAGCCGATAGGGGCGCCATTGTACCGTAAGCGTTCTGGTGCCCGGACTTGCTGACCCAGGTATTCGTGTACAATAAGAGCAATAACCCGAAAAGTACCTTGAATCCCATTGTACCAGCGTGATAGTGCCGGCCACGGGTTGGCACGTAGGCATTGATGACGTAGACTAGGTAAATATTGGTGGTTGGGATGATGGAAAAGTTCACTTGAGGAAAAGTTCTCGTTAGCCTCATAATCTTCGATCTGCATGTAGCTCGTTGGCTTCATAGGTTGTAGTGAACTTACGCAAGCCAATACCAATAGCCGGAACAACCCAATGAAGCCTGTGATCTACGCCTACCTCATAGAAAACCCAGTGCCAGAGGAGTGGTGATAAGCGAAGGAAATATAGCAGGAAGCCGCATCCCAGGATCGTGAATGCCGCCGCTGCGCCTCGGGAACCAATCCCGTGATCTTGTCGCCTGGTTGCCCTCCAGTGGGTATGCCCAAGGGAGCACCGATAACGCCACTGATAGGGCAGAGGCCGGCTCGCCATGACTCGAAGTCGTAGGCCTCATTGAAGGCTGTGTCGACGTTTGAAATCACTGCTACCAAACACGCCAATGGTGACGGCTTGAACGAGGGCGGCCTAGAGCACAAGGGGAAGACAGAACAAGCCCATGGATCGGGCAATGAGCTGGAGGATGTTTTCCGTGGTGAGGGTGCGATGGAAGATCTTGAGGGATTCCACGTAGGTAGGATTGCTTGGTGATGATGGTGGCCTATAGCCTCTCGGTGTTGTGTGTCGGAGACTAATGACTTTTCGGAGAGTTCTGTGCCGGATGCCCATGGTTCATTACTCTCCTATCGGTTCCAAATGTACGTTGTGTCTGGAAAGTGAAATTACCAAGAGCAGCACGAAGCCGATCAAGACCTATGCAACTTGTTATATGGTCCTCCGGGTGTAGTTGATACTGATGAGTCTTGAAATGATGGTCAGCTCATGGTATTATAGACAAAGTTTCAGGAAACCTTGCCCAAACACAAACATGCCCCCGGTCGTCATCATCGCCAAGTAAATGACTGCCAGAGTGAAGAGTCAGTAATCCTGACCATTAATCATGATATTAAGAGGTCATTTATTTGAAATTGTGTACTGACCACATGAAACGCAGTACTTGTATGCTTGAGGCCCGTGTTCTCGTCAGCCGTCCGTAGCTCTGTCACAAGTGGAAAGAAAGGACAGCATTTAGACGTACAACCTAAGAGGGGGTCATTGGGTCTTTCAATAGGATTGGAATCAGTGTAACATTGCTCTTTTCAACATTACGTAACTGAACATTACTCAATGTCATTGGGGAGATCTTTTTGGTATGTTGCACTCTGTGCTTTCCTTTGAGTGTCATGACTATGCAGCTTAGTGTGCTGATGAATCCCGAGGGACATCTTTGCGTAGCATTATTGTCATGGCGTCTCGATTGAACCAAGCGAAGCGATCAATGAATGGACAGTACCGAGTGGTTGATCGGAGTGATAGGGTGACCATCTGAACGAGTATGCGATCTAAGTTGTTTCTCTTTTGCTGAGCGTACCAAGCTCGACACCGATACAAACGGTGATGTCCAAATAAACTTGAGCTGTGTACGAGAGACAGTTCTAGAGCTTAGCGGGGATCGATATGGCTGATTAGAAATACCAGAAGCTGTTACTTGAGATGTCGAATTTACCGCCAATTTCAGGATCGCCCATCCAACTCGGGGATACTAGAGCTACTGTGGAGTTCTAGCAGGACTTGTTGGATACGAGTCTGATGTGTTTAACCTTCAGGATGAACGGAACTAGGAGTGATCCAGCGGGAAGATAGTAGATAAACGGCGGAATCCCCACGTAAGAAGGCTGAATCAACTGCGTATTTACGCATTGTTCGTAGTAAGCCGTCCCTCAATGGTTTGGGACTGAGACAATGGTAATTTCAAGGCATTGCATCTTAGCCGGAGACTTGACAACTCTCATCTTGATTCCGAGCCAATATCGACATTAGAAAGAAGATGGAGGTGGAGTAAGAAAGTCACGGGCCGGGTCTCTGTGGGAGGTTGCAGTCAGTGGGTGATTGTGTAGTGAGAAAGGACGGAAGCTCGGTGAGTGAAGGACTGGAATACACCGTATGGCGGTGCACACTTGATTGATGGATTAATGTGGCTGCCTCTAGAGGTGCAGGTGTGGCGGAAGCTCAGGCTGCTGCAATTGGTACTACTCTACTAGCGTACCTTGCTATTGGCCAGAAACGATGAATGTGCTAGTGTGAGTACACTATATTTCTCCACTCGCTATGGATCGCACTAGTGTTTACATCACTCGTTATGAACCGCAACAAACTATCGGCAATCTTCACGACGCGCCTCACTAACAGCAAACAGCTTCATCGGGTTGAGAAATAAGACCCGTCACATCCAGCGCATTCTCGATCACGTTGATTTAAGGGTCGCTTTACTAACCACATCATATTGGGGTATTTTTTCTATTCACTTTTCGATTTGCTCACCTCTCGACGCGCAACTCGCTCCACCTCGCGCCTTCTTGGATCAAAAGTCCATCAAGTTCAACAACGTCGCTCCGTGTTTCATCACGCGCGTACACCGCTTCCAGGAATCGTAACAAAAAAACAATCGTCATTCAAGATGCCTTTTCTTTCCGATGCCGAGCTCGAGGACGATGACCTGGTCCGCATTCAGAGTGACCTTTTCGAGTAAGTATATTTTCCATCGACTAGACCCCTACAAAGTCGCACATTCCCAAGTAGGTATGGAAGCTCATGAGCCCCGCCGACCTTTCCGTCTATTTACTGTGTTGCGATTCACCTCTTCACAGAACCTTGCCAGCTAACCAAGCTGCCAGTGAGTATAACGAGCCACGTCAAATCTCCGAAGATATCGCACCTAGCCAGCCTGTACCCGCCGGTGTTACCGTTGTCACTATGGATGATAAGCTAGAGCTGAACGCCCCTGTTGCTGGTATGGAGGGTGAAACAAGCAAGCGTGCCATGCCATCCCGGTCTCTCTCAGCAACGCCCGCGCAGTCTGCTTCGAAAACCCCGAAGTCAGCAAAGAGCACGAGCTCCCGCACGCCCAAGAGTTCCCTGAAAAGCACTGAGAAGAGCAGCGGGCGCAAGCGCAAGGCCGTGGAGATCGAGGAACCCAGCTCGGAAGGGGAGGAGGAAGTAAAGGATGTCACTCCTGCAAAGCGTGGTCGCAAACCCGCCGCCGCTCCTAGCGCTCGTCTTGCTGCCAAAGCTGCCAAAAAGAAGCCCGGTCGTCCTGCATCCACCAATGGCACAGCCGTAAGTTCACAAGAATCAACCATAGCGACATGTTCATTCTAACCAGTCGAACAGAGCAAAGAGAAGCCCAAGGGCAAGGCTGGTCGCCCCAAGAAGGATGTCGCTTCTGATGTCGTTCCTAAGGGAGAATACGAGGTCGAGGCCATCGTCGACTCAATGATTAATGCCGAGACGATGGAGCACGTGTACTTTGTGAAGTGGAAGGGTTACCCGTCCAGCGACAACACCTGGGAGCCTAAGCAGAATCTCCAAGGTGCTACTGAGCTATTGCGCAAGTTCAATGCCGATCAAAAGGCCAAAAAGTCCGAGGAGGCTTCCGAGAAGAAAGCCAAGAAGGCAAAGACCTCCCATAAGGCTCAGGAGGCGGACATGGCTGACAAGGCGGATAAGAAGACGGAGAAGGCCCCCAAGGCCCCCAAGGCCAAGCCCGCTGAGAAGCAACAGGCGAAGCCCAGAGGAAGACCCGGTAGACCACCAAAGGCTAGCAAGGACGCTAAGAGCGCGAAGGAAACCAAGGCTCCTGCCAAAGCCGCCAAGAAGACGAAAGAGGTGAAGGCACCCAGGGCAGGCACACGCGTTTCGAGCAGGACGAAATCGGCCTAGGGATCACCAACACAATTCAGGGGCTAATCAGAGGTACTCTGTTTTTTTCATCTCTATGCACCAAGCGCAACCACTCGGCTAAAAGTTCCTCTGCTTTGAGTACCATTGGGTGCCTCGGGCATTTGACACTTCATTGGGAGAGCGCGCGAAGGAGCAGCCGGTGGTCGCGCAAAGGAACTTGGGATGGGCAGCCGGCTGGTTGCTACTTTCACTCCATCTGTATATGTATTCGGGAATTCGTAGGCTGCTTTGTGTTATTTTGGCATCTTCGTTGGCACATTACGGGGATGATATTAGCGACGCCTAAATACCCGCCAAGGCCTGCCCGGAGGAGGAGAACAGTCTGCTTCGGCACACGAAGAAAATAGCGGACATGGAGGAATGCTAATGGAATTTTGCCCATCTTTGCTTTAAAGACTATCTTTGTGAAAAACTTGACCATGAAGAAGTGAGGGAGTGAGGTTCATGGACGAAATATCCAGTTTTAAGTGGAAGCTGATGCTGTGGCTCTGTAGTCAGGGTAGGTGAGGCATCTCACAAAAAGTAGGTAGGTACATAGTACACTACTGTACTATCATACCATTGGATGCATTTGCCGCACGTGTGAGTTGCCCGCCGGCAAACCAACTCTGCCGGCACGGCACGGGCCACGGTATCGAGACCTCCGATAGTTGTCCTTTCGCGGCTTACCTTTTGAAGTATTCTCTGGATCCGTAACTTGATTATAAACAGTCATATTTTGATACATCCCAGTTCGTTGTGGGAGCCGAAACTGCGGTCACGCTAATTCATCCTTGTGTCGATTCGTTTCCAACGATAGGCCTCACCCCCACGCGCGTACCTTTACAAATAACCAGCAAAATGGACGCGCTTCGGTCGGCTCTGCAGCCCGTCACCCACAACCTTCCGGGTCCGATCCGGGATATCGGCCTCTCCCTCATCGGAGACTCGTGTTACAAGAAGCTGATACTCGACATCGACCTCGAACACAACCCTGAATGTCTTAAGCTTGCCATCAGTAAGGCACTCGGCATTGGCATCGTCGCTGCCTCCTCCATCGTCAAGGTGCCCCAGATCCTCAAGCTTGTCAATTCGAAATCGGCCAGCGGCGTTTCTTTCCTCTCGTATCTCCTCGAGACCAGCAGCTTGCTTACCTCGCTCGCATACAATGTTCGAAACGGATTCCCCTTCAGCACCTTTGGCGAGACGGCCCTGATCCTCGGTCAAAACGTCATCATCTCCGTGCTCGTGCTCAAATACAGCGGCAGGGCTGGCATCGCGGCCTTGTTCGTCGCGGCACTGGCAGTCGGCGTTGCTACTCTTTTCAGCGAGCAGCTTCTCAACATGCAGCAGTTGAGCTACCTCCAGGCCGGCGCTGGAGTGCTGGGTGTCGCCAGCAAGGTTCCCCAGATCTTGGCTATTCTGCAGGAAGGTGGAACGGGACAGCTCAGTGCATTTGCTGTAAGGACATCCTCACCCTCAATTCCGATTACATCTCTCCTTGTGCTTCTCTTCAAGTTGCTCGCTACTGACGCTGTGTTTCTCGTTCCTCCCAGGTCTTCAACTACCTCGCCGGATCCCTCTCGCGCATCTTTACCACTCTTCAAGAGGTCGACGACAAGCTCATTTTGTACGGGTTTATTGCCGGTTTCGCGCTGAACTTGGTTCTCGCTCTGCAGATGGTATACTACTGGAACGCGCCCTCGGCCAAGGCACGGGGCAAGCAGAAGGTGCCTGCGGGCCCGATTCCTGCTGCGACGTCGTCGGCTACCGCTACTGGCGCGTCCACCTCCTCCGAGCCGAGAGCAAAGAGCAAAGGTCCCACGACCCGTCGCCGCGGTTAGACGGACCAGCGTGTGTTCTCTTTCTGGCTGGGCAAGTCTGAGAGTGATATTGTGGGGGTTATTTCTAGTTACTTGCTTTTTTCTTGGTATATCAATGTTTGGAATACATGAGCTTCCGATGAACCTTTGGTGTCAGCTGACTTTTCGTCCTGCGTACAAATGCTACAAAAACGTTAGCCAGGAGCCTTTGACAATGTGTGATACTGCGTTCACGGAGGCTGAAAGGCGTTTGAATGGTTTAGCGTCTTCAAAGCAAACTATTGTCCTGGTCCGATAGCTTGCAGTAATCACAGACACTAGCGTTGGTTCATTGAAAGACCGTTCCAGACTTAATCTTGGTCCTAAGTCTAGGCTTCAAAAGTGACACATGACCACGAATTTAGCAAATGTTGAGATGGCAATGGCAGTGACTGTTCAGACGTCAAAACAAACGAACCAACCAAGCTGCTCAGAGGCTCTCAACCATCCTGTTGTCGAGATTCGGCCTTCCCACTCTGCTGTCAACAGAAAGACGATTCGACCCTCCAGTAAGAATGGCCAATCGCTCTAGCCCAACCAACCTTTGGTCCCTGCAGAAACGCTGCAACAAAATAAGGGAACAGGAAAAAAAAAAAAAAAAAAAAAAAAAAAAAAAGGAAATGGAAGTTGTACCCTGTCTACCACGACGTAAAAAAGACAATGGAGAGATAATATAGGTGGCTTGCGTTTCGAAGTCTTTCTTCGGAACCAATTAATACCTCTACGTAGTGGCCTTAGCCTTTACCATTGTTCAGCAAATTGCCCCAACCCTTATCAATGTCTTCAGCTGATATGCATATCAATATCGATGGTGAGGGGGTGGGGGGGGGGGGACTCAAAGTTGCCCCTGTCAACTGAATCGTTTGCCGCTCTGACGCTCGTATACTTCATGTTCACATGCAACAAACAGGAATTATATTGCTTCATACAGTAGCATCTCGCAACCATATCTTTGATGGACAAATCCTCACGGAGCTTCCCCCCCGGGGAAGTTCCCGGGATCTACCCGTTGAGTCTATCTTCGAGCAAGTGTTCTGGAATCTGGACAATCTCCATCACGCCCTTATGCGCCACTATTCATACTGGTAGAATCCTTTCACTTCCCTGCTCGACGGCTCCGCGGATTCACACAGATCCTCCGGCAGTTCCATCTGCATTGTATTATACACGCGACCAGGGAAGTCGCTGGTTGCGCTTCATGCACTCAGGTCTGCGGCGGTCTCGGTCGCGCTATCCTGTGCCCACCCAAATTTGCACACCTTCCGCTAGTATCAACTTTGGCACCTCTCTCCCCTTCTGTACCCGCCTCAAGCGCTTCTCCGTTGGGTTGCGCTCATTGTTCCGGGATGTTTGATGCCGATGTCCTACATAAGTGGAACAGGTCAATGCCCGTTCGCACGACGGAACCCCGGTGAGGATCAGGGTCTAGTCGGTATGTGGTGCAACCCTTCGCGGAGGGCCCGTTGTCGGTTGACGGGATAAGAGAGGGAAAAAGAGTTGCGATGATAAAATGGCGTGCAGTGCCTCGTGCAGTGCTAAAAGTGCTTTTCATCTTGTCTCTCAATTGCGCAATTGCTCGACATAAAGGCTGTGTATGCGGTTGAGCGATTGCGTGCTCAAAGCCAGCCCCGATTTTCTTACGTTCTGACGTGCTCACCTCCAAATCACATCCGCCATTGGCCTGGTCTCAGACGTCGATATTATCCACCATCTCCTCCCTCGTCGAACTGGTTGATCTCAAGCTCAACCCGCTACCCCGGATTCTGACCCCAGGTCGGCTTCCTCGGCTTCCCTTATAAGCGGAGTGTCCGACTTCTCTCTGTTCTGCTCAAGCCTCTCTGATCGGCCTCAGTTATCTCGCCCACCTCATTGAGGACTTTATCCTTCACCTCACCCCATCTCGTATTAGTCGAAACCCCCCGTTCTTGACGACAGACGACCATGCCGGCAGCTCTCAACTCTCAACCGGCCTCTCCGGAGCTTACGCCCGTGAATGGTTTCACCAATGGCAATGGCCATACCAACGGCAATGGCTATACCAACAGCAATGGCTATACCAACGGCAACGGGATCGCTCCCGGGCAGGACAAGGAGAAGCAGCTGAACATCCTATACATCATGGCAGATCAGCTCGCCGCGCCTGTGATGAAAATTTATAACCCGGATTCCATTGTTCAGACGCCCAATATTGACGCTCTGGCCGCAAAATCCGTCCAGTTTGACTCAGCATACTGCCCGTCGCCGCTCTGCGGCCCTTCAAGGATGAGCATGATCACGGGTCAGCTCCCCATGAAGATCGGAGCGTATGACAATGCGGCCCAGATTTTGAGCGATATCCCTACTTACGCCCACTACCTCCGACGTGATGGCTACCAAACGGTTCTGGCTGGAAAGATGCACTTCGTGATGGACCAGAAGCACGGGTACGAGAAGCGTCTCACCACTGACATCTATCCCGGCGACTTCGGCTGGGCAGCCAACTGGGATGCGGATATTGAGAGGCCCGAGCAAAGGCTAGAATGGTACCACAATGCGAGCTCGATCGAACAGGCTGGTGTTTGTGTTCGCAGCAACCAGCTTGATTACGACGAGGAGGTTATGTATAAGTCAACGCAGTTTCTTCATGACTACGCTCGCAGCGGAGAGTCGAGGCGCCCGTTCTGTTTGACGGTACGTACTGGGCCTTTCTTGTCGTCTTCTCAGCCGAATAGGGCTGCAGATGCTGTATCTTTAGCGTGGGGAAGGAAGGGTCATGGTGTGCCCATAACTGGTTGACCGACGGCGAGAAAGGAAGGTTGAACTTTGCTAACAAGATCGCGCCATAGGTTTCCCTTACTCACCCTCACGATCCCTACACCATCGAAGAGGAGTATTGGGATAAGTACCAGGAAGTGGAAATTGATCTCCCCAAGGTTTCCAGAATTCCGAACGAGGAGCAGGATCCCCATAGCAAGAGACTGCTCAAGGTCTGCGACTTGTGGGACAAGAACTTTACGGATGATCAGATCAAGCGCGCACGCAGGGCCTACTATGGCGCTGTTAGCTATGTTGACGACTGTGTTGGCAAGCTACTCAAGGTCTTGGAGAAGTGCAGACTTGCCGACGACACCATCATCGTCTTCAGTGGCGACCACGGAGACATGCTTGGTGAGCGCGGACTCTGGTACGTTTTGCTACTCGATCTGGATTTTGTGCTTCCCCCGGGTATGTCGCTAATCCAACGTTTTCCTGACTGCAGGTACAAGATGAGCTACTTCGAGTCATCCGTTCGTGTCCCTCTCCTGATTTCTTATCCCAAAAAATACACGCCTCATCGTGTGACCCAAAACGTGTCCACCTTGGACATTCTGCCGACCATGGTCGATTTGATCGGCAAGAAGCTGGTTCCTGGCCTGCCGATGGACGGCAAATCCCTTCTTCCGTTCCTGGAGGGACGCGACGCGGAAGGGCACGATACCGTCATCGCCGAATATACGGGCGAGGGCACCGTCAGCCCCATCATGATGATCAAACGCGGCAACTGGAAGTTCACCATCTGCCCCGCGGACGGCGTTCAGCTATTTGATCTGGGACGGGATCCGCTTGAACTTGAGGACCTCGCCAAGGTCCTTGCGGGGCCAAAGTCAGAGATGCTCGATCCCGAATATAGAGAGACGGCGGAAATCATTTTGAGAGGATTTGAGGCTGAGGCGAGAATGCGATGGGACTTTGAAAGTATCACCGAGCAAGTCCTTCTCTCGCAGAGGAAACGCAGATTTGTGTGGAGCGCCTTTACGGCGAAGAACTCAGAGAGCGAGAAATGGGACTTCAATCCGATCGAGGACGGCCGGGAGAAGTCAGTAAAACCCTTGTCACCCTCCCTCATCTCGCAATGATATACTGACACACGTAACTATAGATACATCCGCTCACATATGCCCCTCGACGATCTTGAGCGTATGGCTCGCTTTCCGCCTGTCGACGTCAATGGCAATGAGCTACCCAAGGGGGCGCCCATCAAAGTTCACCAAGCAGGCTCCCATGAAGAGTGATAAACTTGATGGTGCCGGAAGATAAAATGGCGTTGAAGACATATGATGGGCGTTCTTTTGGGATGATCAGTGGTTCACTGGTTCACGATGACAAGATAGTAGATACCCTGGCTTGGCATCAGCGACGGGCATTAGCGACGGGCATTAGCGAACGGCAAGCAAGCATCAGCACAAAGCGCTCTCCTTTTATTCTTTTTTTTATTATTTTGTTATCAATAAGCGTGGATAACGATGATACTGTAGCATTCAATTGGATATAAATTTCATGTCATGTCCCTATGACAAGTCAACCATAATTGGTGTACTTTTCATTTAATCTCCAAGTTCGAGCTCCAAGCACTGACAGTAGAGGTATGCCAATCCACTTACGATCCCAACCAGATATCCGCATTTCTACACCACAAGAACTTGGCTCGATTCACGGCACATTTGTTGGATTATCTGTTTTGCTTGCTGTACTTGGTGTGCCAGGTATTCGGAATTCCAGACCACGGTGCGGAAGGAAATCATCTCTACTCACGGAACACAGAAAACTGATGAATTATTGTCACAAAAAGACCAACAAAGAAGCAGAAAAAAAAAGACAGCTTACGCGGTCCGGGAATTGAACCGGGATACTGCACTTGAACGAGCTTGCCTCCAGAGTTGGTCTTCGAACAGAGGTTTTCTAGGGATTAGTTTCAAGTCACAAATCGAGTGATAAGAACGGCCCTGCGACTCTGCTCTTAACTGAACCGGATGGTGCCGCAAGCTTGGGATCTTCGGCGCCTGTCATCTGTTGTTTTGCTCTTGCCGGTTTTGCCAGGCATGTCTTTTCTTCCTTTTGGCTCGCTGATGGATTCATTTTCTTCATTGGCTTTAGGTTGTAGCTGTTGTGGATGGGGGGTCAGAAAGACCTTAACGGAATTGACTGATATGTACCAAGCATCTGCCATTCATGGGATTCTAGACTACCGCCAAGCCGGAGGTCAGGGGTCGCTTGCTTTAAGTTTACACTAGTGTGCAGCTCGTGCGGCTTTTCGTGTTAGCGATTGTGCAGTGGGGCTGTAGTGGGGCTACACCAAAACGTCCAACGTCACTGCAGCTTCAGTCCGTCCTGGCTGTTGTTTGACGGAACTTTTGCCTTCTAAACGCGTCGTTCTCTTTACATTGCAGTGAATCCCTTGCGACCCGCGGCGACCTCCCGACCCCAAGGCATAATTGTACGAGACAGTACCTAGTCACGGACATATCCAATAGCCTTGTATTAACGAAGCGCAACATAATTTCCCCACTCTACCCCTTCAAAGACTCGTTCAACAACATGGCCGACGGCAAAGATTCCCTCCGTCTAGCTCCTGATGAATTCAAGCAGCTCGAGGTTCTCCGCAACCGATTCCATCAACTCACTCACAGTTTGAACAGCCTGTTTAATGATATCCAGCGAAGCCAGCCTCTCCCAAGCCAGTAAGTCGTTGCTCTGTCCCCCCTCCTACATCTTTCTTCCTCGAGGCTGGCCGCGTTCTTATACGGATCTGTTCTTCCACAGGGAGTCCCTCACAGCCTCAGCAGCCATTCTCCAAAAGAGTCTCGAAACAATCCAAAAGCTCGCAGACGAAAACTCCGAGTTGTTCCAACGCATCGTCGTCCACCCATCGACAAACTTCCCTGGGCGCACTCAGGAACACATCCTTCTGCAACTACTCAGAAAGAAACTCGAGCCGGAAGTCGAGAGCTGGGTCGAAGATGCGCGTAGCGTAGCAAGAGCCTCTGGCTTGGACCCGAGCAAACTGGCCAGCTCCCAACAAAGGAGCAACGACTACGACGATGACGACGATGACTACCGAGACGAAGATGAGGACGCGCCCTCGGATCCGTTCAACGAACAGTGGGCCGATATGTTTCAGGTCAGCATGGACAGCATTAGGGACTACCTCATGAACCAAGCGAACGAACCCTATACGATCGCCGAGCGCGAGATGGGCATTGAAAATGTACGCACCGGTTTGAAGCGATCACTTGAGGAGGAGGACAGCGAGGAAGAAGACGAGGACGAAGACGAGGACGAAGACAGACCGCTTGCTACCGCTGGGCTCGGCAACATCAATGCGGCGAATCTGTTCCATCCAGAGCATGTCCTCTGGCTTGCTTCGAGGGGCAATATGAAGGTCCCGAAGAATGTTGACTTGGAGGCTATACGCAAGAGAGAGAAACCTAGGGGGCGTCCGGCTCCCGCACAGTGAGCGAACAGGATAATCTCAAGCCAGCTCCGTGTGTGGTCCGGGGAAGCATCAATGGCAATCTCTGCGATCTGCTGCTTCCCATGAGCTGGGAGCAATAAACCCAATGCGCGGATCACATCCAAGGGGCAATTCTTTGGCAGAAGCCTCGGTTGGTGAGCGAACCGATTTTCGATGCCTTGGACATGGAGCATGAGCTGTTTTTTTAGACAGGTTTTGCTTCTGCCGTGTTCATATGTTACGATTCGAAGGTGCTATGTTCTTCTCCAGTTGGATGGTAGCATCCAAGTCGGGAAAGACAGGAACGACACTTCCAGCACGGTGATGGCGGGTTCATGGTGTTGTTAGTTGGTAGCAACCGCCGACTCCCCCGCACCCACTGCAACAGCTCTCGCGTTTTGGTAGCCGACGATGACAGCGTTCCCTGCAGTGTGACTGTGCCCTCTGCGACCCAATCACATCTTCCAGCCGCTTGTTGCAACCCGCCTATCATATGCCGGGAGGGCGGTCTTATTGAGGATATTGTCTGGGACTGCAGCAATAAGCTGAAAGTCCCTAAGCTCCAGAACCATTTGACTGACACGTATCAATCAATGATAGACGGTACCTCGAACGAGCTTTTGAAGAGAGGTTGATATATTCAACCCACCCGACGTTGGCTTTGGTTTCCTGACTGCTACGCTGGAGAAACTTTGGATCTAGCCGGGGAGGTTAGATGTAACTATCGGCCGAGCTTACCTTGGGAAAACGATACGTTCTACGGTGCAAAGGGTTCACGGTGACTTGGCTTTACCTCTAGTGTGCTCGGCCTGCTAGTCACACGATATGCTGGCTGACACAGCGCCCACCTCCATACATGCCAGTATGAATAGCATCCAAGATGGTGATGGCATCCGTCATTACTCTGGCTCGACGACATGGCCTGCTGTGTCGGTCCAACATGCACGCCACGACGCCGTATCGGGACTCAGCTTTCGGCTCATTGTATGCTTCGGACAGGCTCGCATGCTGTTTGCGGACCATCCCGAGCTAACAAAACCAATGGAACGCGTGGTCAAAGGATAGAAGCTTAGTGAAAGCGGCAGTCAGGATGACAATGATGATGATTGCTAGATTCTATCTAAACGCCGGCCTGTCGAAGGTTTAGTTGATGATTGCTTGCGTATCTTTTGAGACGAGGTGATTGCTCTCATAGGTGGTAGTTAACTGGAAACTTGAACTTGACCTTTCCTCGTTCGGTCTCCGGATCACTTCATGTTATCTATTACAAGAGGTCATCTACTAGCAACTTACTCTCCATACTTCAAAAGTTGATCACGTCCTGCTACCCAAGTAGCCACAGTCAAACAGCATGGCGCCGAGCTGTGGACTTGGTTATGAAGTACAAGGAGAACCAGGCGGTCGATCGAATGGACGAGGAGGATAGGGGAAGGGTCAGCTTCATGGACCTGGCCGTCGAGATCCGCTCACGAATCTATGGCTACGTCTACGGTTCACACAGCGTTCAACATTTCAAGCTGCCGCTATGGTATATGACCCAAGGAAGCGGCCGTCACATCCCCAAGCCCATCACGTCCAAAGCCACTACTAAGCTCACTTTATTACCCTGCGAGGGAGCTCTAGACGACAACAACGCCAGCAGCCACGCCCCCACTCGCGAACTTCTATCCGCCCACCGTCTGATGAACCATATCCCAACCGCCCTTCTCTTAATATGTTGTCAGGTCTGTCACGAAGCCCGCCCCATCCCTTTTCGCAAAAAAAAAAAAAAAAAAAAAAAAAAAAAAAAAAAACGAACTCGTTTTCCCATCGTGGCACGAGGTCGACAGCGTACAAGCAGCGCGGAACTTTCTCAATGACCGAATTTCTGCGGACTGGCAGCGCCAGAGCATGCGGTACGTGAGGATGCAGCTGGACCTTTCGGAAGACAAAAGCAACCAGAACAGTAACGCCGATGACAACAAAAACAGTAACGTCAAGAAGGCCGAAGCATGGGAAGAGCTAGGTATGTTCCGCCGCTAACTGAAGGGCGGGGCTTCGCGGGATGAGATTATGCATCGACTGCAAAGAGAAGGATCTGATAAAGGGTTCTTTTTGCGGCGCCCAACAGGGCTGAAAGGTTAGATACAGGTGGAGATGTATCTGGACCGGAAGAGGCTGAAGAACTATCGTGCTTCGCTCGGATCTTCCATGGTCTGGTAAAGCTAAAAATGTCAAGAAGCTTAGATGTGGATATAAACAAGGGGACGGGAATATATGACAGATGACGAGCAGGTTGGGTGGTGTCAGTCGTTGGAGGAGCTACTCAACTGAAGCTGTGAATGGCACCAAGAGGGAGGAAAACGGGAGTTCTAGGTCATGTGCGCGCAGACTCCGTATGAGCCGTTCAATTTGGAGCGAGTGCCTGGTAGGATCTCTTATCTTATGATGGTGTAGCCGTTATACGCTGGCTTTTGAGATGAAAATTCAGATGTTTGCTTTCGGTGATGGTGGCAGTGCATTTTCGGAAATGATCCGAGACAGGTTGAAGTTACGAGAGGAAGACATGATTGAGATAGCTCAGTGTCAGTGTGAGCGGGAGGTTACCAAGATTGTCCTACTAACAACAAATGACCCTATGCACCGCCTGCTCCTGTTAAGGACGCTAACATTAATAGGCCATTCCCCTTGCTCAGGGGGATTACCACAAACATCGCTGACCGGTTACCCCTGGTGCCACTGATCAACAATTGACAACTCGTAAAGGACCTACCGATGGACACCACAGCTGGGTCATTCGAAGAAGAGAGAGCCATGGGCACCGTTTGCTCGCGACATCTGTAACAGCGAGTTCCACGCCGGAATTTTGGTAGGTAATCTGATGTCGGCTAGAAATCAACTCGACCTGTTCTCATCCACAAGATTCGAGTATCTCGGGCTGGTGACGTTTGTCAGGCCTAAAACGAAGCATATTTCGGCAGATGTTTTAGCACCCGAAGCCCTGTCTCGAGCGGACCAAGAGTCCCAAAGCAGCTCAAGGACCGACCTGGCGATTCGAACCATTGAGAGACAAGACCTTCTCAAGCAAGACTTTTGAAGCCCACGCTTCCTGCCAACGACAACCCTTGCCTTCCTAATTTCTGGGGTAATAAGCTTCCGCCCAACGGGGAGCCAAGTGAACACCAAAAGCTTGTTCTTTTTCCAGACCCTGGAAAGCCCAAGGTGACCAGCATACTGAACGAGGGGGTATAGTAGGTAGTGTATTACCCGCACAAACCCAAGCATCACCTTTACCGATCGGCAACCCCTGAATGATAATTTGGGACCTGACCTTCCCCAGCCAGCCTCTACAACTCCCGAAACCTACCCGTTGGGGAGGGGGTCAGATTTTCTGTCTGTTCCCCAACTCTGCTCCACAGAAGAGCTTCCTTTCACCTGCTCGCCTATCGTTCTCGCGCTCGGCCATTGCTTTCGATAGTCCCGAATGGTTAATGGGTCCTCCTTTTCAATATTAAGTTTCCAAGAGGAAAAGCTCGGAAAGGAAGTGGGCTTCAGGACACCAATGAATGTCGGAGACAACTTCTTGGCATCAGCTACAGCCCAAATCTACGTAGATTCAGCTCGAGACCCGAGGGTTACCATGTCAGAGACGATACGGAGGTTTACTCGCCTCGCAAAGAAAGGGGACCGCTGCTGATATTCAAAATTGGACCGATAGCTCACATTACGCCACACTGACGTGGAGGTATGATCAGTTTCTTTTTTCAGCTCACAAGCTGTCACGAAGGGTGCAACACCTGGTAGCCTATCGGAACATCAAGGTGCAGATTGCCTGTTGGAAGTTGAACCCGGTGAAAGAAGAAGGAGACGCCCTGACGCCCTGGGGACGAGCGAGATAGGAAACACCGTTCGCATACAAACCGTTTCAAAAGGGGTCGAAGAGGAGAGATGATGAGCTCACCAACACGCAGATCATCTACGAAAAGCAAGGCTTCTTCCATTCAGGGGATGTCCTGTTCAGGTTGGGTGGCAGCATTGGAACTGTGATGGTGGGCTTGAAATAGGGACGTTCTGCTGTTCCTGGACGATCGGTGGGGCCTGTCACAACTCCTTGACCTTGGGACCGTTTTTCTCTGGCTCTAGTCCCTTTCTCGAAGTCTCTCATTCATTCATCTTTCTTTTGATTCCACTTTCAGTGCTTTGCATCTTGTCTTGTTGTTGTTGTTGTTGTTGTTGTTGTTGACCCTCTTTGTTGTCGTGGACGAGGCCCGGCTCAAGTATCAAACTATCAGTATTCTTTGGCGGTGGGTTAGAATGATTGGTAAGTCCCGTGTTTCATAATTCGAGCATGAATATCCTGAACGTCATGAAACCATCTGGTTACAATCCAGTCGACTGGTGGCGGTTCCATCGCTTTCTTGTGTTTGATATACAGTTCATCCAATCTAGGGTCATCACGCAGTTGAGCTATACCGAAGCTTATCCTGTCCGGTGGTCTTTCCACGGCGCACCTCTACACTTTTGTTACCATCCTCAAACGATAAGAAAAACGAACCCATCGCTAACCTGAATACTACAGGCACATTTTCCTCTGACTTTCATTATTAGAAACTCACCAATGCTCCTTCCTGCTGTGTCAACAACAAAGATCTGACTGGAGCTGATGTAAAGTGCCCGGTGCAACACTCTTACCGAAACTGCAAGCATAAAGACATAACAGCACGATGCTCCGCCATCAACTAAATCCGGTATCATGGGCCGACACATTTCTCCGGGCTCTCATCCCCAGCTTCATAGCCGACGCCATTTTCTCTGATCATAGGAAAGCGACCCGACTACACCCAACTTCGTACCTCGACGGCCTACGCGGCATAGCCTCCGTGATCGTCTTCTTCTGCCACTATACCGAGGACAACTACAACTCTCTGACACGCTCCTACGGCGTCGCCGACAATGACCGCCCAGAAACGGCCACGACAGGGTGGATTCAGCTCCCGTTCCTACGCATCATCTTCTCCGGGCGGCCCATGGTGCATATCTTCTTTGTCATCTCCGGCTTTGTGCTCTCGTACAAACCCATCAAGGCCATCCACGCCCGCGACTTTGACAAATGTTATATCACTCTCAGCTCCTCGACCTTCCGCCGCGCGTTCCGCCTCTTTGGCCCCTGCGTGGCCTCGACCTTCATGATCATGTGTTTGCAGCAGATGGACCTTTACCCTGGGCGGAACCCGCGCGCATCGTGGACCGAGCAGCTGATGGTCTGGAAGCGCGTCGTCTTCACGCAGATCACCTGGCCGTGGGCCTGGGACAAGGACATGATGCCCGGCTACGATATCCATCTGTGGACGATCCCGATCGAGTTCGCGCACTCGATGCTGCTGTTTATGGTAATTCTCATGCTGGCGCGCACCAAGCTGCGCATCAGGCAGATGATGGTATTGGGGTTGATGGGGTACTGCCTCAGCTGTGGCAAGTGGGCTGGGTTTGAGTTCCTGGCGGGCCTGTTCCTTGCGGAGGTGCATGTGCTGAAGAGTGCAAGGGAGCAGCAGAACAAGGAATGGGAGTCGGTGGCGCAGGAGGAGGATGATGATGATTTAGACAAGTATGGCCATCGGGAGGTCAGGCAGGGCGGCGGGCTTGTTAGTCTGTCGACGCTGAAGACCGTGTTTTGCATCTCGCTGGTCATCTTGGGATTGTTTGTCGGCGGTTGGCCTAATCACTATGCGGACAAGACGCCGGGGATCCGGTGGTTTTTGGCAAAGACGCCTATGCCGTTCGCAAAGATGGACCATCTCGCTCCGCAAAAGTTTTGGTTCGGTCTTTGTGCGATAGGAACGGTCTGGGCTGTTGGAGAGCTTCCGCTCCTCAAACGCTTCTTCGAGGGTTCGCTAGCGCAGTATTGCGGGCGCATCAGCTATGCGATCTACATTTGCCATGGACCGGTTCTCGGACTCTTCCAGGCTTATGTCTTTGGCAGCCCGTTTGTGCCGGCTCAGGGCGAACCTGGCACGGATGACTATAAGGTGGCTGTTGAGGCGCACGGAATCAAGGGAATGATGGGCATGGACAACACGACGCAAAAGACAATGGGCTGGTTTTGGGGATTGTGCGTGCTTGGGCCCGTTGTTGTATGGGCGGCTGATATCTTCATGAGGGCGATTGACGAGCCTATCGTCCGGATAGCAAGGAAGATGGAAAACGTTTGTTTGGACAGGGAAGCTCAGCCGGATCAGCGACCCGGTGGGAGACGACTGGAGCCGGGATATTCGCAGGCTGCATAAAGTGGTGGACGTTTTGTTCGTGATTTGAGTTTGTTTTACGTCGGTCAGGGCGGTCTTTTGGAAAGCGTCGTGATGATGTAGATGGCGTTCCGGTGATATTCGACATCAGGGGTTCTGGTAGGGTCCAATATCTACCCTTAGAGCATCGATATGGGATACTTATCACTAATACGAATATGATTATTTTCGCCTATATTTTGCTTCTTGGGACAATCATTGTTTACCTGCCTGTTGCGGTATGGTTGAAAAGAAAAAAAGGTTCAGCTGGGGCCAAGATACACGTTGGTTGTGATGAGTCAGCCTTCCGGCTTACCAGAGGCGGTCTATGTACAAGTCTGACTCTTTGAATGCTTAGTAGCGAACTGCGTCAGAATTGGCTTGAAGTACAAGGCAACGTGAACAATGATTTCCTATCCAACGTCTTTGCAAGAGTTGTATAGTTGATTGGCTCCCCCTAGTGCATTACCTATCTCAACCACGCCAAGCCTTACAGGTACCACATCCCTTTTTCCTTGTTCTTATAAGATGTTAATTCATCTCACAAACTTTATCCATTACTTTACTGTAATGTGACTTTGGTCGACAGTGAATTTGTCCATATTCCTACACCTTACGCCAACCGTACGACAAATCCGAGACCGAGGTTGCCCGAAAGTCATCTGCCATGGATGCAAGCTGTCAGTGTGGCGCCGTGACCTTCAAAACACCTCTTCGGCACCCTCTCGCCCTTTATATCTGCCACTGCGCCGAATGTCGGCGGCAGACGAGCTCAGCCTTTGGGGTATCGGCCATCTTTCCTCGGTTTCCTTTGCCCAGTGAGGCGCTTCTGAGTTGTTACAAGTATGTGGTAGTCACACTGTTGCCAGATTTTTGATGAGTCTTTCGATGCCAAGACCCAAGGGTGCCGTTCTACTAACTCTCTGTTTGTGTCTAAAGGAGGCCAAACCCCAATGGTGAATTCCTAGAATGGTGTGTTTCCGTTTTTTTCCCAATTTCAGCGTGTACCGTCGAGCACACGTAAAGCGATTGTCACTAACTTGAGTAAAGTTACTTCTGCAAGCAATGCGGGACTCGCCTGATCCATTCCACGGCTGTAGGTGTCATCCCCAAGGATAGATCGCAGACTTGTTGGACCAAACACTAACACCGTCTCCTTGATGAAATGAAGGGTAAGAACTTCGTTTCCGTCAAAGGCGGATGTCTCGAGGGATTGGACTGGTCGAAAGCAATTCACATCTGGACGAAGAGCGCCATGGTGCCCATACCGGAAGACGCAACACGCTCGGAAGAGGAATGCTCGGTGTTCGATGCGTTCTGTTCGTCGCAGGAAACGCTGGATCAGCCACATACTGTGCGGGGGGCCACAGGAGAAAGGTTCTCAAGCAAATACGATCGGTAACAGGGCATCTTGGGACTGTGTGATGGTAAAGTTGAAAGTAGTTTGAATAAAGGGTTGAGACTCGAGATATCATTTGGAGAAAACATTGATACTAGGAGGCACCATGTTGTAGAGTGGAATTCAGAAGTCAGCAATGAGCGTTCAACGAGTACTGATACAGCGATTCGGTGACTTATTTGAACGCTTTGAGGTCAAGAAGCTGCGAGGATAAAAAAGAAAAAGAAAGAAAAAAAAAAAAAAAAGAAAAAGGCAAAAGAAAAGAAGAGCAAAAGAAGAAAGGGAAAAGCGCCACATGATAAGATTGGCAAAAGAATGAGAAAAAGAGAAATGCAACTAGGAGGATGAGGACTGAACGCGATTTGAACGCGTGACCGTTCGGACTGCAGCCGAACGCTCTACCCCTGAGCTACCGGTCCAATTCCTAGTTGTTATATATTAGCAAAGATTCAACCTGTATTTCCCACGCACTTTGCCTTAGCCCACACACTTTCTTTTCCATCCTCTCCCCGCACTCTCGACTTGCATGGACAATTCAAACCTCAGGACACAATGCGACGAACGACGTATCAACAACCTTCTTTGCTTGAACAAACGCTCACGGGCTACACTCAAACTCCTTGCTCAATATTCCTTACTCACAATGGCCGAACCCCGACGACAGAGATGAGTGGTGGCGTTTTCGATTCGGCTGGACAGTTTTGGCACCCTCGCGCCGGCTCTTCTCATCCCAACAACCGTGCACCCTGAACATATGCCAATGTTTTGCGTCTCTTGGTAGCGTCGAGGTTCCCGGTTCATTCGTCATCGCATATTCTTTTCAGTCTATATTGTGACAGACAATCCGCAGCAGCCACCTGAATTGCATCCTCCTTGGCTGCGTGCCCGCCGTCCGCCTCTCATCACGGCGTCCCTTTATCGCTGCCATGACCACAAATAGGAGAACACGATACAATTAGCATCATGTTTCCTATACAATTCGATATGGCACGAGGTCTACGTGTGGGAAATTTGAAGGTCACGTACCGTCGTTATTAATGACAGTGCCCTGTCGACCTTGGCTGTATTTTGGTCTCTTCTGCTTCGGTCTCGCTTAGACCGATCTCAAACACCAGCCGTCAGGAATCGGTCTCATCCACCCCTTCGTCACCCCACCACATCAGCCTCAAGCACACTAATGTTCACGGCTGTCGGAATCTTTTGCGACCAGAATTCATACAGAAAAGCCCTGTAATGGTCTTGGCCAAAAATCTTCTTGACCCTTTATACCGACAGTTTGCATCCCTTCTCATATTTCGACCTTTTTTCTTGCCCAGGGCCATGCTTTCCACCCTAGCGCTTCTTGAAGCAATTCTTCCGACCCAAAACCCCTTGCCTCGTAATCTCTATACCTTGACAATGGTATAGTAGCATCGTGAAAGATGATAGAAATGCTTGCGCTTCCGTTGTCCTCTCTGTTCCTGGGGCATCCCATGTTCGCCGTCTAAATTTGCCTTCCGCGATGCAATGACCTTCCGCACCTGACGTCCATCTCTTTTCCCCCCCAAGAGTCTTCACTTCGTTCATTCCCGCCTTTGGTACAGGCTGATCCTGTCTTGTCCCATTCCCCGTTTCTCTTCATTTTGTCATTCTTTTGGGTTGTTTTCACTCCCTGTCAATTTACGCCATCCGGCTTTGGGGCAAAGGAACGTGCTGTGTTGTTTATCTGCTGGTCATCAACTCGAAAAGTAGGGGGGTTGCCATCCAAGGCTTCTCGCCACCCATATTGTTGGACCGCGCTCGCTTCATCACCTCAAGAAGATCATCTTTGGCAAGTCCGGTCGTTACCTACACATACACGGATACCTACTACCACAATCCATGTCGGGTTGATCCCACATCGACACTCATCTCCAACGGCTGGTCTGTTGCTTTAATTTTTGAACGTTCTCGACGTTGAACTTCGCGCTACTTCTAAAAGGGGATCGACCGCCAAAGAAGGACTTGTGCGCCCGTTGCGGTACACACAAACACCACAATGAGCAAAAATTATGTGCGACTATTGGTACTGATCTTGAGCTACCTGTCACTGGTACAGGTAGGAACCCAACGGTTGAAGACACGGACCAAATCCACGGAATGACTGACTCAGAAATGTTTAGGCTGCCGCATACGACAGAGAAGGAATTGCTGGACGAAAGCTAGCGAAGACTGGGCACAGACATAAAGGACAGAGTGGGCGGAAAGGGAAGGCCGGGGGGCAATTGCAAGGATCGGTTTTGATTGTTACAGAGACTGTCAAAGAGACGGTGACGGCGGGCAGTGGTGCTGGCGTTAACTCGCAGGGATCGGTTTTGATAGTTACAGAGACTGTCAAAGAGACGGTGACGGCGGGCAGAGGCGCTGGCGTTAACGGAACGATCGCGGCCGGGACCGTGACGGAGACGGTCACCGTGACCCAAAATGGAGCTGCTGGGGCACTACCTGGGTAAGAAACATCCCGGAAAAGTAAAGTATGTCCAACAAATCCGCTAACCAAACGAAAAGCACTGGGAACTTGCAGCTCTCTTTCGTGACAACAACAGTTTTCGGCACGGGCTCGCCTTCAACCGTCACCATCACAGCTTTACCCCAGACCATCACTCAGACGGTAGTCCAAACCATCACCCAAGTCCAGGTCGTCGCCTCGACCGTCACCCAGATCCAGTCGGTACCAGCATCAAGTTCTTCCAGTCAAGTACCAGGAGTGGTTGCGGGAGCACCTGCCAATGACGGACTACCGCGCGCCAGCGGTGGAGTGGGAGTGACGACGGTTTCGATCCCAGCTGCTTTACACACTTCGACTTTGGAGGTGCCCCCGGCTGCTACTGCTCCTTCGACCTCAATCTCGGTGCCCTCAGCTGAAACAACCTCCACGACGAGCGCGGCAGTAACAACTAGCAGCACATCATCCTCTGCCTTGGGGCTCTCTACCACTTCAACCACCGTGGAGACCATCACCACATCCACAACCAACCTCGCCACCAGCACATCAACCAGCGCCCCCGCCGTAGCCATAACTTCAGTAGTCTCTGTGAAAGCCCCTTCCTCGACCTCGACCTCGACCTCGACCTCGACCTCGACCTCGACCTCAACCTCAACCTCGAGCACCACCGCCGCCGTAGGAGCAGGAGCTGAGCCGACCTCAGTCCTTGTTCTCCCGGTCGTTTCAGCAGCCAAGCCGACAACCACCACAGTGATGCCGGGTGTTGCGAATGGAGGGATTCAATTGACTCTTGATGTGTCGGGGCTGAGTCTGACGAACGTGTTGAATTTGGGGAATTTGGTACCGCCTACGGCTGCTGCGCGGCCGTGAGCGGGGGAGTGAAGATGTTGATGGAATGATAGAAGGAAGTCAGTTTTGGTAGGAGAGGAAGGGGGAGGTGTCTTATTAGGCTGTGAAAAATCCGCGTGTTGAATTTTTCTTTCGGTGGCTCTTTCAGTTCGATATTCATCCGGTTGTGTTGAGAGTTGAGAGTTGTTTGTACCCGTGCAGCGAGTGTTGTTGCCGCTAACAACTGATATAATGTATATAAATCTTCGTTTCTCCCTTCAAAGACCGCCATTGTCCTCGGCGCTAGATAGGCACGTTAAACCGATCAAGTTTAGAAACGCTTCATGTTGAAGTTTACCAGAGTGCCCCGTTGAAGTTGTTACTCCTGTAACCAAACTGACATGTTCAATGGCGTGATATTGTTGACAAACCAAAACTCCTGAAACCCATCACAGCCCACACGCCCTTGTTATAGTTCCCATTTTTCGCTCTAAATAGATGGGTATCGTGGAATGCTCGTCAGACGTGATGACATGCTGCGTGAACAAGATAGAAAAGAAAAAAAAAGCCTAACGCCCTGTCACCTAAGCGCCCCCCGATACGCAGCAGTCAAGTCATACCCAGACTACTGACGAGGCTCGCCTCCAATAACACTCGTTCTTCGACTACTTCGCCTGTTTCTTTTGCTGCCCACCACCACCCTCTCCATTCTTGCGCTTTTGGCCTTGGCCTTGCTGCCCTCCCTGCTTTTGCCCCTGCTGCTGCTGCTGCTGCTGCTGTTGTTTCTGCCCTTGCTGTTGTTTCTGCTGCAACTTCCTCTGCTTCTTACTCAACTTCGCATCCCCCTCCGCTCCCCCCTCCTCCTCCTCGCTCCTCACTTTACCCCCAGGAGCAGTCTGCACGATATCCACCACCCCTCTGAAACCCCTCCTCTTAACACCCTCATTGACCACCACCGCCCTCGGTACCGTCCCCAGCGCCTCCGTCCCCTTCTCCGGTCCCAATCCCCACACAGCCAACAGGTTGACCACGTCTGCGGGGCCCCTGAGACCTAATGCGCTCTTGGCCTCGCTCGAAACGATGATCCCGCGGCCCTTGGTCGCCCGAAGCAAGCCCAGAACATTGCCGATGAAATTGCTCCTCGCCCGCTGGGCGTCCACAGTGTTACCTGACAAAAATGCCTGGCTGTAGCAGATCTCAAAGCGCGTGCCGCGATGCACGGCCGCCATGGCGGTGCGGTGGTGGATGTGGAAGCCCAGGAACTGGGTCAGGTCAAGGCTGATAATGGCTGGCGGCTCCGTGGTGCTCAGGCACGCCCAGCTGAAGGCCTTGTCGTTTGTCGGGCGAAGGGCCAGCAGGTCATAGGAACGGGCAAAGTCGACGAGGCGGTAGTTGGTTGTCGAGGGATCGGTGACGGTTAAGGTTACGCGGCGGAGGACAGTGGGGAGGGGGGAGGAGGAGGAGGGAGGGACGGCTGATGAGGCGGTTGTTGAGAGGTTTGTCGTCTTTGTCCGTGTGGTCGCTATGGATGTGACACTTGTTGAATTGCCGCCACCGGGGAATGATGGGTGTGGATGTGTGAGCTGCGGGATAGGGTTGCTGATCGGGTGCGGTTGTGTTGGGATGTTGCCCGTTATGGTCTGGTTCAAGGCGACGACATCGTAACCTAGATTTTTGGCGAACTTGAGCGTACGTTCGAGCTCTGAGGCTGAGGTCGTTGGCGACCAGGCAATGTTGAGGTCGTAGAGCATGACTGCGTTGTTGTCTGCTCTTCTTCTCTTGGACGTTGGATTTTCGCGATAGGCAAAAGCTCGTGCTGTCGCGTCTCGATTCGGTTTGTGGGATTTCGCAATTGAGACTGTTCTGTCGTGTGGATTTGGATAATGCGGCCGTATGTAGCCTCAAAGATTCGCGAATGGTTCTTATCCGTTCTTTGGCCGTAATGTCGATTAAGTTGGACTGCAGAAGCTGTTACATATCAAATGTCGGGCGATCGAAGACATTTCTTTTTTTTTTTTTTTTTTTTTTTTTTTTTTCCCGTTGGTTTGAAGCTCCGCATCCACATGTCTCGATTACAATGCATGTCAACGAAAGTTCGATGGGTCCATCCAGCCTGGAATGTAACAGCAGCTCAGGTCCCGCCGTGTGGACGCTTTTAGTGGGGCCATTGTGCGCTTTGACCACCTGTATGCATTGTATGTAGTTCAGGGCAGTTCTGGGGCAATCTCCGCTGGGCCCGGGGGAGCTTAGCGCGTCGCGGGGGAAAGTGCGCCCCATCCATCTTCGGGCAGCAAATCGAAGGGAAGTGTTTGATCAATTCCCCCGGCCACGCATAGAGGTAGCCGGAGGGCATCGCATTCGCATTCCCGCTCATCTTCAGCAGGTAAGGTACATGGGTTGCTGCCTAGAGGTATGTAGGTACCACCTCCGGCAGAATGTCACGTCTGGTTGCACTCACTGTGTCCTTCGGCCAGCAACTGAACGCGCAAGATTTTAGTTTTACTTCTTTTGTCATCGCCGAAAGGAAGACTAGACGGGAACTTTCAACTTCTCTTCTTTGGACACCATCTTAGGCGTCCTCTTTTCAACAACTACACTAGAGACCAAACGAGCCAAGTAGCGACACCCACTTCGTAACCGAGATCGGTTATCGATAGCGCGTCGAGAATTATCTTGCTATTAACTACCCATTTCATTCATCAATCACTTATTCCCCGCTGCCCCTGCTTGTTTGATACCCACGGATTTTGGTTCCCATTGTTACTCAAACATCGTCAAACTTTGATCGATTTCCGTTCGTTAGCTCCACAACACTGTCGAGAACTCCATCAAGACTATCGACACTATGTGTTTGATCTTCACGTGCGGCGAGCACACTTTCCGCAAGGAAGTGGAAGGATATGAAGGACTCGTGTGCCGGTGCTACAACTGCGGTAACTATTCGGGCAGTGTTATAAAGAGCCATCCATGGTTCACTTTCTGCTTCATTGTACGTGGTGTCGTGTTTCTGGCGGCGAAGTTGTGTGTGCATTTTTCTATGTTGAGTTGAAGCTAACGTTGAACAACGTTTACAGCCCGTCATTCCTCTCTCGATCAAGGGGTACGAAGACATCTCGTGCCGCATTTGCAACTTCCAACAACCACTCGAACATAGACAGGACGTTCAAGCAATGCGCCGGGGTGCAGACGGTAACCCGGGAGTGCCGTTACAACACCAACCACCTGGCGCACCTGCTCAAGGACTGCCTCAAGGTTGGGGCCAGAAGGCACCTGAACCGAACCAGCCAATGCAGTATCGCTAAAAGTACGATTCGAGACCGAGGAAATGGCACGGCGCGAGGACAGCGAGGTTGACTTACGATCATAATATGCAATTTTGAAGTCACGAAGATGGAGTTATGACCTGGATGGTGGCTTTATGTGGACAGGCCCAGAGGAAGCTACATACATGGCAGGCGTCGGTTGGAGCCTGAGTTTGATATCCCCATTTGCAATTTACGCTTTTCTTTTTCTTTTTCAATATTATTATCATGATGATTATTTAAAACACATATTGTCAGAGAGCATGATCGATGAAGGAGGCGTACGGCGGTCCTCTTGCATGTCTGAAATTACATGCACTTACCAAGTACACCTATTTGTCTGCAACTTGATCAGATGGAAATATTGGGTTCGGATGAAACGCAGCCGGTGCGTTTGACATTTTTGCACCTTCAAGTCGCTGCCAGACATGCCTTTGCCTGTGGCGCACCGTCAAGTCGAACAGCTTTCCGTGAACTCGTCGGACGTTACGTTCATCTCGCATGCAGCAACCTAAACTGGGCCATAAAGGTGCACAAGCCATAGGCGTGTGGTCCAGAGACGATGGTTGTGTTTCTTGACGGTCTTGCAATGACATTTCATCAACATCCAACGAAGAATCCAAGGTCTGCGCACTGAGTCGAATGATGATCTTTCAAGAGGTTGTAGAATAGACGACTTCGAACTGAAGCATTGGAGTATTCCCTTGTGTGGCACTGAGGCGACAGTAACATCCGGCACCACAGGCAGTTTCCAGGCGAGAGCAGCCCATGGAAGTAACCTACCTAAGTAGTGTAGAGGTACCCAAATATGCCGCTTGTACAAACAGGTATTTCAAAGATCGAGTAGGAAACGTCCCGTACAAAGCCATCAAAGAGATTCAGAAGAATGAACAATTCCACTTGAACCTACCTAGTGTATTCCATCAACGGCATCTTGTACGCGGACGGACAGACTGCCCGGATGAACTTGGGCTGCAGAAGTGCTGTAGTTTGCGGGGTTGAGTACCTACCCTACACCCTACGGGTTGTGGGGTTACTGCGGACAGCGGCGATGACGTCGGGCGGCTCTGGCCCCATTGTTTCCACTTTGGCTTCCGTCTTCAGAACATCCACTGCGCTTGGATGGGGAAAGATTCCACCATTTGTTTTCGACTTACGAAACAGTGTGTCGAATCCATCACCAGTCCACAACGACAGACACATCTGAAAGTCGGATTCAGGTGATACGGGACGGACCCCGACCCGGCTTCCAGTTCTTTGACACGATATCCAGACATCTTTCGACGACCAGTTCGGCGCCGTGTCTCTCTTTCTCGGCCCATCGCATTTTTAAAGCCAGCAGACACCGCCAGTCCGCCCGTCGAACAGAAACTGCCCCGTCACCGTTGACCTGTCGTCCCACAAGCCCGAATCCGCACACCAAGAGAGACGGTCCAAGACACTTGCCAACAACCGGGACGGACTGAGACACAGTCTCTAATATACAATCTTCAGCCTCGAGCGCGGTACTATCTCGAACCTTGAGCCGTCACCAACCATGGCGTCTGCAAAGCGTGGCCCGTCTGTTTTGGTATGTTGACTCCTTGATTTTTACTGGACAATTGGCTGACATCCATCGACACACAGGTGACCGATGCTCGCCAACGACCTTCACCCCCCAGCGCACCCCGGCGCATGGGCCCTACAGGTGGCCCCGGCCGCCTCTTGAATGGACGTTCCTTTACCGTCGACAATGTCTTGCAGTACTCATCAGATATTCCATCCGGCTTACCCCGGCTGCCGCCCGGCCAGCGGCCAACACGAGCTGCCATCCGCAGGAGCAGCCACGGAACAGGACTCCCGAATGCTTCTGCCCGAACTGGTCAACAGATCGTGCCTTCTAGGACTACTAAGGTTAGCGAGAAGCTCGTTCTTCTCCCCGAAACTCCTGACAACGAGGATGCACTAGGCGATGAAGAACTGGAGCGCCGCGCCTCCATTTTGCGCGCATCCGAAGATGATAATCGGCCATTAAAAGACGAAGAGTTGGATGTGCTGAGGAAGAGAGGAGGACTCCGTGGCAAAAGCTATGCTGAGCGTCTACCCAAAGTACAGCGAGGCGAAAAGGTTTCCCGACTTACTGCCTATTGCACAGCACAAGCCTACAAGATGCAAGCGACAGCCGAGTTCCTGAAGAAGAAGCACGAAGCCAAGACGAAACTCTACGACGACTGTCTTTACACGGTATATCACCTGCCTCTGCTACCTGGTGTAGATGGCTACCGGCTACGGAGTCGACCTATCTTGAAGACTCCAGGCACGGGAAAGACGGTGTTGGATCTTGAAATCGAGCGCAGCGAGCGAAGAGACGAGCACGAGGGCTACTGGGACGAATACCCATTCAATATGCACGGCTCAGCAGATAGCCCGAGCAATGGGACTACATTGCTACAGCATGCTCACAGTGGGGTCGACGAGACAGGTGCTCACTCATCAGACCATGATCAGAAGACACTGGATCATCCTCCTATCAGCCCCATTAACCGCCTGGCACCTGATGCTAAAAGGTTTGGCGAGATGTTCGTCTTCTCGTATGGCGTAGTAGTGTTTTGGAACTTTACAGAACACCAGGAGAAAGATATCCTTGCAGACTTGACCTTTGCCGAGAACGAGACCGGTGTTTCGCTCGCTACTCGGCCCCTTGATCAGAACGATTTTGAGACTGAAGAGTTCCACTTCGAGTACAGCGCCGACGTGGACCGCCCTCGCGTCTTCAACGATATGATCACACTTCTTCCTCGGTCTGACCACATGGTCAAGCTAACCATTAGCCATGCCATTGCCCAGAGCACCAAACTCTGCTTTTTCGAGGAGCGCATGTCAGAGACGATGGAAGGTGCTCAGCACGTGCCGAAGAGACTTGCACTTACGGGTAAACTGGACATGGATAGGACCGAAGTTCTGAAGATCCTAGGGCAGCTCTTCAAGAGTCGTGTAGATATCAATCTTTGTAAGTCCACGTTTTGCATTGAGTACGGTCTGATCAAGCTGAGGTTACTAACAGGCGTACTTGTAGCATCGAACATTCTTGAAAAACCCAACTTTTTCTGGGACTCGGAACCCACACTCGGCCCGTTATACGAAGCCATCAGAGACTATCTCGAGATTGAAACACGTACCAGGGTTCTCAACGAGCGTTGCCAGGTCTTCCTTGATCTGGCCAGCATTCTCTCTGACCACGTGGCTGACGCAAAGATGAGCTACATCACTTGGATTATCATTATCCTTATCGTGATCAGTATCATGGTTACTGTCACGGAGGTATTACTGCGCTTTGCCATTCTGTCCAACGAGAAAGCCAAGGATGGTGCAAATAGCCCCGCAAATGTGATCGGTGGCGGTAATTTGTTGACTGCTCACAGCCGGATCGATCTTCGGAGTCTGGAATCAAAATTGGCGAATGCAAACCTTACCTTGGATGACCTGAGGCTGTGGAGCGCGGCTATGAACGAGCAGGAGAAAAAGTCGATTTGCGGCGCAGAGATCGTGGGTACGACGTTCAAAGGATTGTGAGCTGGTCAACAAGGCAGAGACGACCGTTCTCTAAACATGATTTACGAAGGAGGGAAGGGAGGAAAACAGATTGAAGCTTCATTTTAGTATGATGGTCTACATAGCGATGGCGTTGCTTTTCGTGAACTGAGTTATTCTTGCATTCTGGTTATTGATGGGCTTCGTTTCAACTGAGATCAGGACCCAACCCGCTATAAACCTGACATGGTATGGGATCTGAGCATCCAAAGTATGAAGATGAGTACGAGAACTCTTTGTATGTGTACGGTTGGGGTTTGGTAGGGAGGGTAAACAGTAATAAAAAGAAGAAAAAAAAAGGTGCTTGCAGGAAGAAGAAATCGTTATAATCACAATTCCCGAGACTTCGCAAGTAACGATCCCATCATTCCCATCAACCATCAGATACTCACTGTTAACGCCCTCAACGCCCAGCATGCTTTCACCTGATCCAAGATAACATTCCTATTCCAGTCAGGACAGACATACGCTTCTCATACAAGCGGACAATGATATATCCTGCTCAAACACCCAGTAAAATTCAGAAGACCCTAAGAAATAAAACACGCACACACACACGCACATCACTGCCACAACCGTCCCAACAACCCCTCCCCGCTCTCCCATTTGACCCCCCTCTCCGCTTCTTCCTCCGCAATCTTCACTATCAACTCCCCAAACAATCCATTAGCCCACCCGAACCAGCTCCTCGTCCAATCCTTCTCATTCCACGCGTTCACAGTCTCATGCACTACCCCCGTCCCGCTCGTCGAGTCCAATATCATCCGCAGCTGCTCGCTCACCACCTTTTCTTGTTCCGTCGTGCCCGAAGACAAGCCCGACAGCTCCGAGTTGTAGGCGGTCAAAGCGGCTACCGTGGCCGCCATCGGCCAGCCTTTTCCGGGACCGAGATGGGGGCCGCCGACGGCGGAGAGGGCGGGACCGGCGGCGAAGTAAGGGTTGGAGAGGGAGAGGATGAAGCGCCGGGTGTTTTGGTAGATTAAGGAGTAGTTGTGGGAAGGGGGAGGGGTGGTGTTGTAGGGTTTGGACTTGGGAGGCAGAGGAGAGGAGGAGGGAGGTGAGGGAGGGGAGAGTTCGTCGTCGAGGGATGGTTGGTCTAATGCTGAGCGTTTGGGGACTTGGTGGTCACGGCTGCCGCCGTGGGTTGACTTGGTGATGATGGTCTTTGGGTCGACGAGCGGATGGGTATAATTCCACAAGGGAAACGCCAACAGCGATGGCACGTTAGCGTCATCCATCAGATTCGCGCTTCCGTACCCATCCACCTCATACGCAAACATCTCACCGAACTCGCGGTGAGTGACCACCGCGTCCTTAGCAATCCCATGTCGAATCCCCCTAGCCAACTCACGCATCTGCACCGTCGCATTCTTCGCCATCTCCCTCTTCCCCACCTCCAGCCCATTCAATCCAGCCAAACCCTCCATAATCACTGACGCTTGCTCCAAATACGCCGCAAACATCATGTTACTCGGTATCAACAGCTGGAAAATACACGCATCATCACTCGGCCTGAACCCACTCCTGACCATGCCGTTTTCTTTGACTGGGTTTCCCAGCCCATCATTCGTCAGCGTCTCGCTGCCCCTATTCGTCCAGCCCGTAAATGTCCACGCCGAGGGTAAGACCTTTCCGCTCTCATCGTACGTCCCGAGTCTCATCGCGGCCGCGGCATCTACGGCGGCCTGAACGGCTTCGATCCACCTGTACTTCCCAAAGAAGGCCAGATCTTCGGGAACGCGGGCGTGGTACGCGCTACTGATCTGCAGGAAAGAAGCCAGGCTGTCGAGCTCCCACTTGCAGTCGAACACTTTTTGCGGGTCGTAAGGGGGTTGTGGGTTGTTCTGGGCGTAAGCGCCATTGCGCGTGGGCGGGATACCGGATTCGGGGGGCGGTTGGAAAGAGTGACAGTAGGGTGAGATGACGATGTAGCGGGCGTGCGAGTTGATGAGGCCGCGCCACAGGCTGGCGAGGGAGTCCTTGTCGGGGGACGGGGTGAGGAAGGGGAGGTAGGAGTAAAGTTGCGAGGCGGAGTCGCGAAGCCACATGGCGTCGATGTCGCCGGTGATGATGTAGGTTAGTTCTTCGTCAGTTTCGGGGCTGTATTCTTCTTCTTTTTCTTCATCCTCTTTTGGGCCACGAGCTTCGTCCGGGGTAGCTGAGAAGGAGGCAAGGGACTTGGGTGTGCCACCATTGTTCGTGTCCCAAGGGGAGCTGTTCCTGGCGTAGCCGTGCCACTTGATCATGGTATCGAGAGTGTTGGGGTAGCTGTTCTCGAAGAGGCGGAAGAGATCCGGGTCTTTGATCACGGTCCTCATGCGCTCGATGAGCTTCTCGAGAGCTGGAAGCTGGAAGGTCCGACAGTGTGGAGGCGGGCGCACGTAGGGGAACTGGCGCTTGCCGGCGGATAGCGGACCGGGTTTCATGCGCTGGAGCTGTTCGAAGCTTACACACTCATCACCCGCTTGGATAGCCCCTGTTCCCACGCCCTGATCAATATCTTCTCCAGAAGGAGTCGTTGGAGGAGAGACATCCTCGTAGTTGGCGGGGATGCCGGTGTTTCCTTCGTGATGGTTCCATGTTTCCCGCGGCGGTGGTGTCAAATTATCACCCACTTCTCCCGTTGTCTGGTGACTGTGACCGATGTTCTGGTCACTTTCGGGTTGTTTAAGAACGACCGGGTTTTGCCGGTAAATGGACAATGGCGATGCCGTCTGATATCCCACGAGAAGTATGCAAAGAGCCAAGAAGGCCGAGAGGGCGAAAACGCGCCCACGCCGTGAGATAAAAGTCTGTAATAACGCCATGTTTTCGATTTTGAGTTTTTGTTTGCTCTGGTGCCCTGACGGGCTGTCAGATAAAGTCAAGTTGCGGCCGCGATGAATATTCGAAGAAGGATCGTGAAGTGGTAAGTATCCGACGCTTCTTTGATCACATTAGCCGGTTGTTGACCGCCGAAGATGAGTAGGACGAAAGACCTAGTTCAGAAGTACCATCTGGAATTGGTGAACTAGAAGGAAGGATTATATAACCGCATATCGAGCTCGTTGTCAAGCAGCGGAAGTTGCACAACACACCCAACCCAGTGTTGTTGTCGAACAATCAAAGAAAAGGAGGTTTCTGTGTGGCTGAGTCCATCCCTTCTCAACTTCAACCAGCAGAGCAGAGTAGAGCAGATGGAGTGTCTCGCTATTATGCGAAGCTCCCTTTCCGTCTCACAAGTATCTCTCCATCCCTCTTTCGTTCCCCTCCTCCCCTCCCAGGAGAGAGCGGAGGGAGTCCAGGGTCGCGGAATATGGATCGGTCGAAGTTCCCCATGTGGCCTTCTTGGCAATCATTTGTACTTCCTATAGAAGACTAGGGTGAAGTACAGTAAAGCCGCCTGGAAGTGCGGAAAGCAACCAAAGATGGGTCGTTTGAGCCCCCCCGTAACCGGGTATATATGTAGTGGTCTCTCCCATCAACAAAACCTGACCCTTGTAGATGCAAAATCGGGCCAAAGTTTTTATACTTTGCATTTTGCAGGATTTATATTGGCAATCATTTGGCATACGGATTGTTTTGGCTTTTTCTTTTGGGGCACTTCGGGGTGGTTGCACTTTCACCGATCTCTACTGTATTCCCATTATTCAAGCTGCGCATTGGTTGACGGTTATGATTAGATTAACCCAAAATGAGCTATCGGTGTTTCGGCGTCCGCTGCTAATGGTTCCTTGCTGTTTAAAAGATGAGGTTACACTACAACTCTAGTGTTACCAAGAAGGCTCTCGGATATTGTATTGTTCTTGGCATCCTTTTTCGTGGCAGGCTTCTCGTGTGTCTGATGTCTCGCTGGGAACTGTCTACACTACCTTAGTATTTCGGTCTTCTGCATTGTACTTTCGTAACTTAAAACCGTATTCTTGAGAGATAGGCATTTTGCCCTGAGGTGTTGGCTAGGAACACCTACCTGGTCACCCCCGGGTCGCCTTCACATACATTGTTTGCGAGATCTCGAAATGTTCCTGCGCTAGGCTCATGCCGTTCAGATCTTGCCGTCTGATGCCCCGCAACCAAGTGGCCAGAATCCCTTAGTTACCGGCCAGGCCTACCTAAACAACCATCTGTCGAAGGAAGATTGTCTACAAGAACGATAACTTGGTATTTGATTAAGTAAAGTATACTGATTAAGCAGATCTTATCTATCCTGGCCCCGCGTACACTATAAAGAAGCCGTACGTAACCTATAACTCCTATCCCTTCCCCGAATCCAAAGTCGGTCTACAACATCCCATTAGTTTTGCGTCACTGCCCACCAACAGTGTGTAACCAAACCTCCAGGATATTATATAAGCACCCGACAGTAGGTTGAACAGGTCCCCAGTCTATGAAGACTCATCTTGATCGCTACTGCTGGAATCCGACTCCATCCCGTCATCCACCTCCTTTCGAGTATCTTCATGTCCATCCGGACTCCAAGCGGGCACGTCTTCGCAACCCTCAGGAACTCGGCACAAATCTCTGGCGTTACAGGTCTTCCACAACACCTCTCTGATCTCCGTGAAGACCTGGTCCACAGCATCCATCGCCCAGATGACGTCCAGATGCTCATACTGCTCGATGACCTTCTTGTGAACTACCTTAACGTGCGGCTCACGTCCGCCGTCAAACCTCCTCAGAAGTTTAGTTCCGTCCACCAAGGCGTCGTTTCCGCATACCCAAAGGGCGAAGGGCGGTGCCTGGTGGTTGTACCAAGCCCTTGAGCCCTTGGGCCTCATCCTGCGAGCCGCATGCTTCGATTTCTCTGACTTATGATTGCCCTCCATATCGCGCTCTGCCGCCTTGAGGATCTTGTTCGCTTTCTTCTCGTTCCGGCTCTTCTCTTGCTTGTCAAGCTTGTCCAGCTCTCGATCCTCCTTCTCCTCTGCCCTCCACTCCTCCTTGGTGGCCAGGATACACTTGTGCTTAGCAAAGCACTCCCTACCCAACCACCAGCGCATCGATTCGGCACTGACGTAGACGGGCGCGAACTGGAACATTCTGTTCTTGAGGTCCCTGTCCCAGCGACGGTCGGTCCAGTTGAACAAGAACGAGAAGACTTTGTACCCGAGCCAGCCGTAGACGCGCGGGTGGAGAAGCGAGTGCATCGTCATCATGAAGGGGATGAAGGCGTGAATGCCGAACAGCATGCGAAACATGGCGGGGGTGATGACGCGCATGAACTTGAAATACATCTTGCCGATCAAGGGACCAGCATACGCCGCCGGGGCGAGGGCGCAAAACACGGTGAGCTTTTCACCCAGGTCCGGCCGCTGTTCTTTGGCTAAGGCGACAAATGTCTGGGTGGTGCCCTGAGAGTGGGCAATCAGTCCGATCTTCTCGAAGCCAGTCTCGTATAAGACACGCGAGGTCAAAGCAGCCAGGTCAAAGACGCCCATCTGCCGGATATTCCAGCACCACATGCGCGGATCCGAGTACTCAAGCAAGACGTGGCGAGGCTTGAAGCCGCATCGGTTGTTGCCGAGCCAAACGTCGTAGCCCGATTTGCAGAGGAAGAAGGCAAGCGAGTCTTCGTCGTTGACGCAGTAAGCGCCTGAGCTTTGGAGAAGGCCATGCATAAGAAGAACGGGAAATTTCGGTTTCTTGTTGTTCTTGGTCTGGCCTGGTTCCCTCCTGAATTTGCCTGTGAACAGGTCGGGTCCCTTGTGCCGCCGCTCCTCTTCTGGTAGTGGTGTGTATTCTTCGGGATCGTACACATGCCAAAGCTCGATGACAAAACCATCTTCGGTTTCGACAAGATGGGTCTCAACGTCGAGCCCAACACGGCGGGCATAAAAGCCTATGTCGCACACGATTGGGTCGGGGCCCACGGCCTTGACGTCACTATCGCTTTCGTCGTTGTCTTCACTGTCTTGGTGGTCAAGGTGGCGCGCCGACTTCCTGCGCCTCCATAGGCGGAGTTGTTTCTCTCGCAATTGCTTCCGTCGCCTCTCCTCCTGGTAAAATGGCCGGTCGGCATCTGGATCTTTGGAACCCAGCCGCTTCCATATGTGTTGAAATGCAGGTGGTATACTGGTGAAAAGGGAGCCCAGGACAATGACGCCCAGGAATGCCAGACTGAGGAAGAATGAGCTGAAGCGAAACAGCAGACATTGGATGTCTCGCCAGCGCGATGGCGGACCGTAAAGCGGTAAGGGCGGGAACAGAGGGTGGGTGTAAGAAGGAGGCATCGACCTCTTGAGGTTGCCGTCGGTCGAGTCTGAGGTGTTGCGCTTCTTCTCATCCTCTTCGCTGGGAAAACTGAGGACTCTGTCTCCTTCTGAATCTTCTGTTTCCTTGAACGTATCGCGCGAGCCACTGGCTTCCCTAACGTGTACCTTGACTCCATCGTGTCTTTCGGCTTCGTCTCTCAACACGTTAAGCTTGTAGGCTTCGGTTACCGGAACGGCAGGAAGACGGTTTCCATCCGATGTAACGATAACGGCATCTTGGGGCGCGACAAAGATGGCTTCGATGGCGACACCTTTGTTGTCCGGGCTATCTGGCGGCTGGAAGGACAGCTTCTCTGATTGATGGGTAAACTCGACCACTGCTTCTTCAGCTGAGCCCTCACAGGGAAGCCTATCTACCTCAACGGACATGGCGGCTGGGGATTCCGTTTCGATATTCGACCAAATACTGTTAAGCTTGGTCACTTGTCCAAAAGTTCTTTGAATATAAGAGAAAGGCATAACGACATGGTTATGCAACTCAAGAAGTGCTGGGTGGCCAACAAGATGAAGACGCAATACTTTGAAGGGACCAGTAGAAAGAGAAGAAGAAAAAGCAAGGAAAGGATTATTGAAAAAGTAAATAGACAACTTGGATATTTCTGGGGTAACCGCAAAAGGAGTACTTCCTCCGTGTCGCGCCGTCCGAGTGTTGCGCCATCAACGTCATGATGGAAACCTGCGTTCGCCTGGTAGGGGGAGGCTTTGAGGCAATGCACAGTGTCAGTCTGGAAAAGGGTTGGGGTTGAGGGAGGGAAATTGTGCTATACCCGGCGGACGTAACTTGCCAACCGCTGCAGAGCTGTGACAAAAAGCCGGTTTTGTTTGGCAGGAGTGTCCATCGTTCTGGGAAAGTTGAGACAAAGCGACTGAGGATGGCCCCATCACCGCAATTCGGTCACATCACTCGATGCTTTGATAGGAAACGCGAAGCGGAATAATCGAGTGATGAGAACTTTGAACCAATCTGTCGTCCTTTAGACGCAGTGTCAGCCGTCGATAGGATCAACGGCAGGCAAAGATGGAAGACCTGAAGAGTGCTGTTGTGTTTTCCTTTCCTGAAACAAGACATTCAATTGATCCCCGGATTCACAATTCAAAGTCGGGCAAGTCTGGAAAGTGCCCAAATGTTGAAAAGTGCGTCACACTGCAGCTGGGGGGCTCCATGTGGGGATGACATGGATGGGGGAGGCATGTGAGAAATATGGAGATCCGTCTTGCTGGGAGCGCCATGTCATTTCCTGACGCCAAGTGATCCCTGACTAGTCAAGACACCAGAAGAGGAGCATCATCAACGCTTTTGTCTTCAGGGCAACGCTGAAGATACTGGGAAAAAAGCTTAGCATGTGGTGCCGAGCGTCTTGGTTTCAGATGTCTCTACTGTCACGGCCCATCGGATTGTGAGAACCACTGTGGGTGAATCATCCAAGCAGAATAGGTCGGACTTAGAAGTTGAAAGTGGATCCCCAGGCACTGGAATCTGGAGTTGGGGCGGCCGCTGTCATCCATTGCCTTCAGCTGAGATCTATCAGATACTCAAGCTTCACAGAGTCCAGAGCCATTCCCCTTGAACATGGAGTGGTGATATCTTAGTTGTGTTCATCCTCAAAGGCATGTGGTTGATCGCTGGTAGAGGATGTAGGCTTAACAGTAGGAAGTAAGTACCTATGAATCTGTCATCAGTTTTCAACACCTACCCAGCCCTAACCCTGAGTTTACGTAAAACAGCTCCTTACCGCTGTGCGGACCACCGCCGGCCATGTGCCTCGGCCAAAGCTGAGGGAGGAGCCGCCCCCCCGAAGCTAAAGACGGGGAATGGCCGGGGAGTGGGAGACAGCGCCCAGCGAATGACCGCGCTGGCCATTTGGGGATCAACCGAACCGCACATGCAGCAACGGAACAGCATAGTCTAGTCTCCCGTCCTCTCTCTCTCCCAACGACGCGCTGCTGGTTCGAATAATTTCTGTGGTGGTTGCGACGCCTTCTCTTCTCTAATTTAATCAACTGTACTCTATCGCAATCCCCTTTCAAGCCACTTGCTTCCGGGTTGCCACGCGCCCCTGGCTACTGTTCGGCATCGGCTTTGTCGTGTTTCGTTGCAGCTGAACCCCAAATCACTTCCGCGGTGTACACGGCAGTCTAGACTACATTGTCACTACTACCTAGACAGGTGTGGGGGACCTCGACCGGCATGGGCCGTAAACAATAATCGTGCCTGCTACTCTACCGGATCAAACTTTCAGCATCCGATCCCTTTGCGCCGACCGACCGGATCACTCCATCGCCGAATCTCAAGTCTTGGGCACCGGCTCCGATTTGCTGCCGTACCCTCTGTCTTACACCAACGCCGACGCACCTCTGCAATGACCGCCCCCAACTCCGCCCCTGCCTCGAGCAGGAAAAGGGTCCGAAGACGCAGACAGGACAAGCCCGCCTTGTCGGCCAAATTGGTCCTCGATGCCCATGTCAAGGGCGATGTTGGTGTCATTGCTACCGACCTCTTCGCCGACCTCTTCCCTCATCTCTGGGCTAGTATGTAACATATCTGCCCCTATTGTGGGTTTATCCTGCCTTGTATCATGGGTTCTGACTAACTGGCCACTCTGGCGTGACAGATGGCGACAGCCAGGACACCGTTCATGTTGCAATCGCTCCTTGGGCACCAAGCCAAACTCCCGAGGCCAACAACTGGTCCATTGTACCCGTCATTCGATCTTCCACTGTTGCACCGTCCACTGTACAGTTCTCGCCCTCATCGCTAGCCCTCCAGTCTTTCGCGACACACCTCCAGCAGGCTGCGCCCTCAAAGCTCTCCGGCCATAACAAAGGTGGCATTGAGATCCTGATCTTGGATGTTTCGCCCATCGAGCTCGATACCGTCTTTGTGAACCTTGACGGAGAATTGGCTAAGAGACTGGAAGATGGGGAGGGAACCTTCTTCCGCGAACACCCAGTCAACGGCAAGGGCAAGGCTCGTGCCGATGCTACCCCTGAGGAACACTTGACAGCTGCTTTGCGCACTGCCCTCGGTACCTTGAAGATTGTGCATTCTGGCGATCTCTTCCCATTGCCACTACCACCTCACCCAGTTACCCACCAACCTCCATACCCAGGACGGATAACGCTGTGCGAACCTGTGGCTCAGGGTATCCTCGCCCCTACTACAAAGATCATCGTGTCGAGAGGGCGCACCACCAGCAAGACCAAACGTAGCTCTGCATCTGGCCAGCAACAGGGGCGCAAACTGAACGGAGTGGCCGAAGACGACGAAGATGCCTACTTCTCGGCTGCCGAGGAAGACCGCGATAGCAAGACCGATGCCCAAACGGCTGAAACAGATGCAGACGATACCGAATTCGAGCCACAGGCTGGAGAAGATGAGGACAACTTGTCGGATGATTCATTAGACGAAATAATATCCCTTCAAGTTCCTACTCTACCCACTACGGTCACCGGCCAATCTACAATAGGAACGGGCACCCCGACGATGCTCAGGGGCAGGAAGACCAACGGTCCTGGGTCGGTTATCTCTAGTTATACTGCCACCACCGCCAGACCAGACCGACCACGTGGCCGGCTCTTCAAGGCGCAAGGATTAATGAAACCTATCCCACCTGATCTGCTCCACCCTAAACCTACATCCGAAGACGATGAAGAAGCGTGCATCTACGTGGATATGAGGGATCTCACCAGGGTGGGCTGTTTCTCGGGAGACTGGGTACGAGTCGAGGCGGCCTCTGAACCGCCGTCCAACGGGCTCGGCGCGTTTGGTTTGGGAAGCTTCGTGGAACAGGACGCAGAGGAGATTAACTGGAGACCCGCGAGGGTTTTCGGCCTGCCTGAAGGATATTCGAGCCGTTCGGCGACCAGGTCACACCACTCTAGACATGATAGCCGGAACTCGTCCTTCTTTGAGGCGCAGTCCCAAAAGTCGAATCCACCGGCTTATACTTCGCCTATTCTTCTCGCAAACTTAGACAACCCTCCCTATCTTCGTCTATCACCGATCAAGCGCCCTTCGAGCTCCATCATTAAGGGCGTCGCTGCTCAGTCAAAGACCAGCTCATCCTTGAAGCCGCCATTTGCTCGCGAGGTGATCCTACAACATGTGAGAACACCCACAGCGGTCGAGAGGGACGTACAGTCTGCGGTCATGGCTGGCCTGAAACACTATTTTGAGAGGAGATTGCGGGTTCTCAAGACTGGAGATCTCATTGCTGTGCCCATTGACACCCAGTTGGGCAAGGCTCTTCAGGAGAGTACAATCCCTGGCGAGGATTCTGCCATCGATGAGGTCTTGGGTTTGATTGCTGCAACACGTCCCGGACAGAGCCTACATTATGACGATGTTGCCTGGTTCAGGGTTGGTCACGTCCAGGCCATGAAGCAAGACATCACAGAAGCAGTCGATGGCGAGGAGGCAGAGGACCTATGGGGCGGAATCGCCTGTGTAGATATCTCGCTCACACATCTCGAACAAACAGGATCTGTCACAGGCCGCGTTCCGGGCACGATATCCAACAGCTGGCAGTATTACCTGGGTATCAGGAAGCTTCCCAAGCACCAGCAAAACCCAGGGCTACCTGCTCAACTGCAAACACTAGAGCCCGAGAAGCAGTATGTTTCATCGCTCCGAAGGAAACTTCGCGAGCTCATGGCTGCCGCCACCAGTAAACCCGCGCTTCATCTCAACTTGCCACCACTGGCCATTCTCCTTGTGTCGACGCAAAGGCATATCGGCAAGGCAGCCACAGCCATGCAAGCCTGTTCAGATATTGGTCTGCACACATTTGCCATAGACGCCTATGACATTGTGAATGACGGCGGTGGTGGAGGTGGTAGCGATGTCAAGACAGCTGGGTTCTTGACATCGCGCGCTGAGCGTGCTATGAGCTGTGGTCCCGAATCATGCGTCCTCCTGGTCCGCCACATTGAAGCTCTTACTGCCGACCGCATGGTTTCTTCCATCAAGGAGATCTTGGCCGACGCTAGGGTTTTGATCGCCACCACCACCGAGGTTGAGAAGGTCCCCGACGGCATCCGTGCCCTCTTCACACACGAGTTGGAGATGAGTGCCCCCGACGAGCAAGAGAGAGAGGGTATCCTCAGCTCCATCCTCGCCGACCGTGGCATCGGTCTTGACCATGGGGTAGATCTCAGCGGCATCGCCCTCAAGACTGCCGCGCTCGTAGCAGGCGATCTCGTCGACGTTGTTGACCGTGCCTTGGTTGCGCAGCGATCCCGCCTCGAGAAGCTCACCGCCAAAGCGACCGGCAGCATCACCTTCCGTGACGTTCAGCTCGCCGGTGGCCCAGCCGCCTCTGGCCTGACCAAGCAGGATTTTGAATTAGCCGTCGATGCCGCCCGCAAGAACTTTGCTGATTCCATCGGCGCGCCGAAGATCCCCAACGTCACATGGGACGACGTCGGTGGCCTAGGCAACGTCAAAGACGCCATCACCGAGACCATCCAGCTTCCGCTTGAGCGCCCCGAGCTGTTCGCCAAGGGCATGAAGAAGCGCTCTGGTATCCTGTTTTACGGACCTCCCGGTACCGGCAAGACGCTCCTGGCCAAGGCCATCGCCACCGAGTACAGCCTCAACTTCTTCAGCGTCAAGGGTCCCGAGCTGTTGAACATGTACATTGGTGAGTCCGAAGCCAACGTGCGGAGGGTGTTCCAGCGTGCCCGCGACGCCCGGCCTTGCGTCGTCTTCTTCGACGAGCTGGACTCCGTCGCTCCCAAGAGAGGTAATCAGGGCGACAGCGGCGGTGTCATGGATCGTATCGTATCGCAGCTGTTGGCGGAGCTCGACGGCATGTCGGGCGGCGAAGGCGGAGGCGGCGGTGTGTTCGTCATCGGTGCGACCAATAGACCTGATTTGCTGGATCCTGCACTGCTGAGACCCGGTCGCTTCGATAAGATGTTGTACCTGGGTGTTTCGGACACGCACGACAAGCAGGTGACTATCATGGAAGCTTTGACTAGAAAGTACGTATTTTTTTTCCCCTTCCTCTTCTTCAAACCCCGATACTAACCCATATACCCCTTCCAACAGATTCACTCTCCACCCAACCGTCTCCCTCCGCTCTGTCGCCGAGCGTCTCCCTTTCACCTATACCGGCGCCGATTTCTACGCCCTCTGCTCCGACGCCATGCTCAAGGCCGTTACCCGCCAGGCCACCTTGGTCGACACCAAGATCCGCGAGCTCAACGCCGCCGCCGGTCCTGAGGGAAAACAGATCTCGACTGCCTACTTCTTTGATCATTATGCCACCAAAGAGGATATCAGCGTCATGGTAACCGAACAAGACTTTTTGGATGCCCACAGGGAACTGGTGCCCTCGGTTAGTGCGGGCGAGTTGGAGCATTATGAGCAGGTTAGGGCTATGTTTGAGGGGGCTAAGGATAAGGACAAGAAGAAGGAGGGTGCTGATGGTGATGGCAACGGAGTGGATGGACCTGAGAGCGGTAATGGGAATGGGATGCTGGCTATTACAATGGGTGATGACGGCGCTGGAGCTGACTCGACGAAGAAGGACGGTAAGGGAAAGGGAAAGGCGGCTGATAACGAGGTCAATGGTGCTGGTAAGGGGAAGGGCAAGGAAGGCGTTTCGCCTTTCCAGGAATCGGGAGGAGATGAGGATGAGGGGTTATATGATTAGCAGGTTGGTGATGTAATTTTGGATAGCATGGGAGGGAAAGCGGTGTTATAATGCGGTCGTCATGCTGCGCCGCATGTACGTGGTTGAGAGATGGGATGGGACTACACTACCTTTTTAGAAATGTCTAGACAAAATGAGGGGTTGCCATCAAAGGAGAGGAATAGGTAAATAATCAAGCAACATCGACAATCATGGAGCACATGAAGTTGGCGTGGCAACTAGTCAGATCAGGAGCACGTAATAGACAAGTATGATTTATTAATTTGTCTGAGGTATCCTGTCGACATCAGCAGAATATCAGATTTCCTTCAATTATCACCTGATGATTCTTCCCCTTTCCCCCATAATTCCCCTTCTTCAGTACTCCTACTCCTCAACCTCCTCATCTGGAACTTCCTTTATAGTCTCCGCCCTCTCAATTTCCTTGATCTCCTCGTCCGTCGCACTCTCTATCAGCGCCCCCTGCAACGATGTAATGGGCGCGTCCACGTCCGTCGGCTGCCACGTCGTCGACGTCGGCGACTGCACCGTTCGCGACGCCCCACTGTCGTCCTTCCACCCGCTTGAGGTGGGCGACTGGAGACCGAAGCCCGCTGCCTCCGCCGCTGAAGGTGGGGGAGATTGAGCTGAGGAACTGTGGGTTGGAATTGGTATGGGGTTGGTTGTGGTTGTTGGTTCTGATGTTGATTTCGTTGTTGCCGCCTCTTGTGTTGCCAACTGCGCTGGGGTGGATGCTGTTGGTGCAGGTGTCGCTGTTGTCGCCGTCTTCTTTCCAGCTTCTGCGTCCTCTCCGTCTTCCAAAGTCGCCGCTTTGGGAGTCTTGCTTGCCGCGGCAGCGGGCTCGATGCTCGCGGATGGTGCTACTGCTGCTGCTTCGTGTACCGGCTTTTCGGCCTCCTTCTCCTTCGCCTCCTCCACCTCCTTGTTGCCATGTTCCTTCTGCTCCTCCTCCTTCTTCTCCCGTTTTGGCTCCGCAGCACTACCAGTAGCCTTTGTCGCGGCCTGTACCTTCTTCTTCTTAGCCTTTGCGGCGGCTTCTTCGGCTAGGGTGCGGATCGGCAACGCCTGTGATGCCATGCCGCTTGCTGTTGCTGGGCTGGCGCCGGCGCCGGCGGCGGAAGATTCGGCTGCAGGCTTCTTCTTCTTGCCGTACTTGGGCTTGGGCGGAACGGAGCCGATGGGCGGCTGGGTGAATTCGTCTTGGTAGATTGTGACGTGTTGCTTGAGCTCGCCGTACTCGTTCCATTCTTCGATTTCGACAATGTCCTGCATGTCTTCAAGTTAGTTTCAAATTCATATAAGAAGAAAGGAACGTAGTCCGGGTCGAAAAGGGTGGTGGTGGTGGTGGTGGTGGTGTGACAAACTTACACCCACAACGAAACCCTCTTGCACCAGAGCCGGCAGCTTCCGCACACGGCCGTTAGGGTCCTTGCCGGCACGACGGCCCCAGAGCATGCGCGCCTTGTCGTTTGTGGCCATGTCGACGGCCTTGAAGGGGATGCGGTTGGCTCGAAGGATGGTCTCAAGCCGGGAGGTGGCTGTCACGATATGCGACGACCCGGCTGTCAAGGAGGTGTAGATGTAGAGGGCCGGATCGGCCTCGAGCTCTCTCAGCGATGACGCCATGGTTTCGGTTTCGAGACGGTGCTGGTGTGCGTAGATGGAGTGTTTGACTTGGGGGTATCGATAGCGTTGGATGCGTGATGTTTCTGAGCTCTTGTGCTGTTGTTTATAACTGAAGTGAGAGTAAAGGTGCAACAACGAGGGGATGGAATACAGGCGGTAATGCCCCTTTGCGGTGCTAGGTCCGGTGGAATGAGAAGCGTACGGGGCGCCCGGTAGACAGGCAATTAAGGAGGTGAGACGAGGGGTGGCCTGCTAACGGCTTACTCCACTGGTGACACGGCAGCGTTATGTACAGCTCTTTTCCAGTTCGCGTACGATCATGGGGATAGCGGGGTAGGTATCTACACTATATTAGCGACGGGAACAGTGGAAGGGGCAGCTGGCCGATCGCAACCCATTTGGGTCTTATTGAGGAATGAGGTCATTCCAGTGTATGTCAAAAGAATGATGATGATCCTGCAAGGTGTTGTTCACCACAACTACCTGTTGGAACACTCCGTATTTAAGTGTGGGGATCATGGTATGGAATGCGCGGAGAGGGCTAAAACATATGGCTTTCTCTGATTGTTGAAAGTCTGAATTTCGAACAAAGACACACCAACAGAGCCTGTACCGCGACCCAATTCGAAGACACTGCAGCAAGCTTTACACAATGGACATGATCTGGCATTTCAAACACTGACGTTCTATTTGTTTGTGAATGGTAGACAATGTCCGTATGTATCCCCCGCTTTCAGCCGGAGCTGACCGGAGGTATGATAGCCACCTCGTCCCCTTCTTGGATAACAACAGCGTTATCCTCGCCGTCTTCATCCTCACTACTCGGCATATCCACGTAGCCCAAGTTTATCGTGACCAGGCTGTGATCAAGCACCGTTTCTCGGATACCCTGGTACCGCTCCTCGAGTGTGTCAAAGAGTTTCCCCAAGGGTAGCGGCGCCGGTAATGCTTCCATATCCTTGCCCGTGTGGGAGCTAGCAGTTGCGAAGTACAGGATGTTAAAATGACCCTTTGGGGGTTTCGGCGCGCTCATTGTGATCGTAAAGCAGATCCTGCCAGACTGTGCCTTATTAGCCTTCTTGAACGCAAAGGGATCATGAAGATGTAAGACGAAGTGATTGGTGGCTGGATAGTCAGAGATCTTGGTGATTATTGAGACATCAATGTACTTCAGAGTAGCAAATAATTTAATGCATCATCCGAGCCGCAGTGTAGGGAGCCCAATTGGGTGGTTTGGGGAGTAGACTTACCAATCGGATGTTTTCTGGTGGTTGTTTCGTGAGAAATGCATCATCTCGCTCAGGAATTCTGGGCTTCAAGACCGACGCATCGTCGTCGAATTGTCTCCGTCACGTGCTGATCGCACTAGTGACAAAAGCAGCTGCTCAAAGCATGATAACTAACAGCAGCTTTGCAAGATCCCATTGGGTCTCGACAGTAACCGTCTTCACGAAGCCATTGTGATGTTCCACTTGGAGGCAGTGAAGCCAGGCGTTGGGGAATGACAAGTCACTGCCGGAGAACCTGAGGAAAGAGTGTGCAAGAGGAAAATTTCTGCTGGTTTTCAGGACTCAACTTTTTATCGATGAACGTGAGTGGATCCAAGCTTCTGGTGCCAAGGGTTCACCTGATTGGTCGTTGAGTGGACCTGCAATTGCATCGATGGAAGCTTCCAAGAAACCCTTGAGCTCTGGGTCGTCAGGGTTCTCGTCCTCAAGTACCAGTTGGTACAACAAGCCCTCAACTTTTTGCAGTCGCAGTAGTAGATACAAGTCGGACATACCAACGGTATTTGAAGCGGGGAATCTCGACCTCATGTCTTCATCTATTTACATGTCTTGCAGAAGATTACACAGTGATGCGCCCAAGTTCGGTTGGGCTCTTGCAGACAACAAGGCGTTCGTGATAAGCATTTCGCCTTAATGCTGGATATCTTACTTGGACACGACAGCCATGGCGTTCAATTCAGCTTCGTCATCTTTGCCTCCAACTCCTTGATCCATCCCGACATTACGTCCATGTTTTTGACCATGGCAGCGTCTCCATCCTTCATGGCTGCTTCGACCTTTTCTAGGCCTTCCTTCCATTGTTGAATATCACCCGCCATATCGGCCTGCTTTGCTTCTAGACGTGCCAGCGTCTCAGATGCTGTAGCGGCATCGGAATGAATCACCCTGAGAGACCTTAGACGGTCCAGTAGAGGAGGCAGTAGAGGCGTCAGGTTCTCGATCGTTGGAATGGTTCCGTAGAGGGCGTTGATCTTGGCCGTCAGCTCCGAGTCTTCGGCCGCAGTTGGATCCATCACTGGCGTTGCGCCTGTCGATGCAAGCGCCTCGTGAGCTGCCTTTGCATTCTTGCGCGCTTTCTCTAGATTTTCGGCCTCCTGTGCCAAGGTCCGGACTCTGCGAGTAATGCTGTCCAAAGAGGATGTCGAGGCCTCTGATAAGGTCTTGACCTGATTGTGGAGAGTCTCCAAGATAGGCAGTATCGCTCTCGGTAGGCCGTTCGAGTCGAACTCGGGCATCTCTGGAGATCCAACCCCTAGGGCCTTCTCCAGAATGACGAGCCGGTGATCGAAGTCGGCTGCCTTTGCTAGCGCATGTGTTTCCTCGTAGGTTGGTGCATAGGTAACAGTGTAGCTCGCGAAGCCTTCTGTGGCTTCCAACGGCCCCTCATCAATGCGAACAGACTTGGCTGGTCCTGCTGGCGCCGTTCGAGGCGCAAGCAGGTCATCGAGCTTTGACATCTCATCCAAGGTCCTGCTCAGGGATTCAATTTCCTCCTCGTCCTGGCCCGCTGTCTCTGCTTTGGGCTGCTCTGCCGCTGCCTTCTGCTTCTCATACTCCTCCTTGGCCTCCTCGATTTCGCGCTTTAGCCGTGCAAGCTTTCTGGCCAAGTTTTCTGCGCCATCCTCGTCACTTAGGTCGCCCAGCTCCTCAGTGCCATCCTCTAGAATCCGTTGCCGCCGACTTGCAGTCTTGTAAGACTTCCTCTTGCTGCTGAGCCGGTCTGAGAAGTCGACATCGCTGGCGTCTACCGCAGCAGGCATGAACCTCGAACGGGCCTCATCGATCCGGAGACGCGACCGGGAAATGGCGGCAGAATCATCTTCTTCCTCATCGAACTCGTTATCAGAGGGTGACCTCACAGTTGTAGGCTTAGAATATAGTTAGTTTTGCGCCGAACGGAACAGCTGAGAGTCAGCTCACCGGAACTGTGGAATTGTCGTCAGTTAGTTCTGGTGTTTCGTATATGTCTGGCGCGGAATCCTGGATTGCGGTGTGGTTAGCAACCAGTTCGTTTGCGAGCTCCCAGAGCAGACAGGCTTACCAGGTCCGGCAGGGCAGCATACTTTCGATTTGATGCCATCTGGAACACTCTGCTCACACGAAATAATCACTGAAGCACTCAGGTGTTGGGCTTGCGATCTGACGAAGTTGATGTGGAGTGAGCTCGGAGTAGTAAAGTAGTTTCTGTTCATGCGTGAAGTGGTGGTGGTAGCCTTGAGGCTTCCGCCGTGCTGGAGCTAGTGTACGCAGTACGGATGTGGTGTAACGTGCTGAGGTGTAGGTACCTCTGGGTAACGCTGTGCTCGTTCTTTGTGTGGCGTTCACAACGCACCTAGCATGTCAAGGGGAAACCAAGAGCGCCCCGCGGCCCCGCATTTACCGACACGACCTAGGTACGCGTCGGTCGTCTGAAGTGTCGGGTCCTATTTATTGTGTGCGAGTTTGGTGCGGGAACCTTGTTGGCTCTGCAGGACATCGCGCTTCACAACGGGCCGAGAAATGCAGTGAGATGAACTAAGGTGCAGGAGAATCACATCTCAATATCTCCATCTTTCTGAAGGTCCGCGTTGGTTCTTGCCCTGACCATATGGCCCTCAAAAGAGAACGGGTGCGGGCAGGTTATGAGTTTCAATGGTACCTGGGCTGTTTGGCATCTTCCCAAGCAATACTTTACACTTTGACTTCCTCGTCCTGGAACCGCAACCACAACAACACTCGGCTCTCGCACGACTGCAGCAGGTTCCAGTCTGAGCTCTCAGGCACGATACCGCCTCACCAATATCCCCAAGGCCTGTGCTCTACCTGAGCTGTGAGAAGATGAAACCCAGCATGCCACAGGGCAAGCGGTTCCTTGGATTAAGCAAAAATCAGCGAGGAGTTCCACCGCTTTTAACCATTCCTTCAAAAATGGACGATATTGATCCAGATGCACCTCCTCAGAGCAGCGACGACGAAGGATTTGCGGAATCCATGAGGGGCGATTTGACGAACTTACTTCATCGTGGCAGACAGAGAGAACAAAGGTCAACTTCTCCCTCCAGAGAACACGGCAGCTCTCCAGGAACCGACATCTCCACCAGCTCATCTACAAGGCCGGCGACGCGGCAACAGAAGCGGTTGCGGGATGAAATTGAGGATGATCAAACTGATCACGAAGGAAGCTCGATCGTACAGCCTCCTCCAAAAAGGATAACTACGGAAAAGAAGACGGTTCAGCAACAGTTGGGCAGTCAGCACCAGTCTAGCATCTTCAGATCCACGAAAGAGATATCGAAAAAATTCGGCAAAAAGCACGGCTTTCAAATACCCAGAGATGCGAAACAGCCAGTATCCAAAACCCCCAAGGTACTCAAAATACCACCAGCAGCCGGCGAGAATGGAAAGGCGGACGCTCCCAGGATGAACTTTCGAATCCCCGCTGCGATACCTGATTCCTCTCCAACCAACGTTTCCTCGGCAACGAAACTTCCCAAGGCAGGCTCTGGACGATCTCGTATACGGCCTGCAAGGTCGAAATCTGACAAGGAAAAGAGGAAAGCTGAGGAAGAAGCCAAGAAGCGACAGCCGACTATTCTACGAATTCCAAAGGACTTTTCATCTCCCTTCGATTTGGACAAAGAGCTGGAATCGGGATTCGAAGAAGCAGACATTACGCTACCTATACTGCCAAGCTCACCCCTCAAAAGTTTCGACTCCGCTCCTGAGTCAAACCGGAAGCTCGTCTGCCCGATGTGTGACGAGGATGTCGACGAGTCCTTCTTCGAAACCCTTCGAGCGAGGCAAACTAGAATGACTCTTCACCAAGAACAACAGTTCTGCCTGTCTCACAAGAGGAAATCAGCCAAGGAAGAATGGCAGAACAAGGGATATCCCGACATCGATTGGACTGTGCTGGACAAGCGGATAAAGAAGCACCACTACTTTCTTCGCACCATTCTCAACGGCGGTAAATCCTACTACGCCAATGCCCTCAATGACAAGATCAAGTCGGGTCAGAACAAGACTCTACTGAAATCAGAGGGGAATCTGACTCCTGGGTACTACGGCATGCGCGGTCTGCGGCTTATGTCGGAATCCTTGGTCAATGAGTTCTCTTCAGAATTACGGAAGAGAGCGGTGCAAGATCGCCTGGTTTCGAAGCGTGGCTATATGGTATACGTGCAATCCGTGTTGGTCCCAGAGTTGGCTGTGCGGCTTATTATGGAGGATATGTCTCAGGAAGGGACAGAGAAAGTGACAGAGGAACAGGCAAGGACTATCATGAAAGACAGCACATGGGTAGGAGAGCTTTTGAACGAAGAAGATGCAGACCACGTCTTGTATGAGGACGAAGAAGACGAGGAAAGCCAAAATGATGAGATGGGCCTCAGAGACGAAGACGAGGCTCATCTCAGATACGAGTATGAAAGCAGGTTGAAAGACGAGGACGAGGAGAAGCCCAAGCGCGAGGTTAGAGATGGTGAAAAAGGACAGGACGACGAGATCAGGTCCAATGGCAAGGATGTCATTCACATCAAGGTTGAGAAGGATGACGACAGTCATTCAACAATATCTTCAATATCCACTCTCTCGGATCTCGGCGATCTTTAATCATTTTACACGCCTGTTTCTCCGAGAGCACGCGTAAGAACTATATCTGAAGAGTTCACAAAGTCGTCAACCTGAAGGATTTAGTTAGTCGTCGGGAGCATTGTCGATGGGGCTCAAGCGTGCCAATGTTCACATGGCATGTACTGGGATGAGCAAATAGAACAACCTATGAGCTGGACAATCTTCTCTCGTTTCTTATATCCTTGATCGTGCAACATCTTGGGCGTTTCTCCTTGTCTTGGGCGCACGTCAATGTTCTTCTCCCAAAGCCCCCTTTTCCTTCACAAAATATCCCTGGTTTGTTCCGGGTTACCAATGTAAGTTGCTGGTTGGAAGGGATTTAGAAGAAACCACCTTTGTTTGTAGAGGATTCCATTTGTTTCAGGATAGAAACGTGCGAAGTCACATATCAGATTCACTGCTCCGCAATTGCGGCACTACCAGTTATGAAACTAGACGGAGCTACAACTCTTCAAAACATGCCCTGCGAACGTTAGCTGTCGCGAATATTCAGCCCCATGCAAACTCCAGGCGGTCCGACTTTGTTTCTTCTAAGCTCGGTAGCTGTTGCGAGTCATTGCCAACTTGTTTTACGCCGAGTTGTATTTGCGGGCATACATATGAGCCGCTCTTTTTCAAGCGGCACCTAACTTGACATCCATGTAGTCTCTCCAGCTTCAGACTTATCCCTACCCCCCAGAGCTGTCTTCTCCTAGAAGGAAAAAAAAGCAAAAAAAAGGGGTGCGCAGGACTACCGGGCTACCCTCTGCTCAAGTAGACCCATTCTGACGAACGAGGCTATCTGTGGCGAGACTCGGGAAGGGAACCCATCGAGTTTTCTTCTTAGATCGAATCACGGGATGCCAACTGGAGCGAAAAGCTCCTCCTCTCTTTGTAGAAGCGTGTGTAAAGATGTCCATGCACTAGGCGTAAAGCTCCAGATCGGCTCTGTTTCTTGGCTTCATGTAAGCAACCTTCTATTTTGTTGATGAGATGAATAATATAAAAACTCGACGCAAAGATGGGATGGGGGCAGATTGTGGATTTGGAAATGCAGTCCCGCTAGGTAGAGGTACCCAACGACGAAAAGCCTGGTACCTACATATGTAGCTATGATATTGGAAACTAGCGTGCTTTATCCCTCGCCGGGGCAAGATCTGTTGGTTACAGGTGTAGGTTAGGTGAGTGGAAAATAGAGGTTAACGACACCCCGTCACCACACGTGTTCGGGTAGGTAGCTAGTAGCCCGGTATTTTGTACCGCCGGCTAATGTTAAGGCAAGGTCCCTTATTTTACGGGGTAGAGACACCGAGCGACGGCGAACGCTCGCACCTCCCACGTTAATGGGGTCCGGGGACCATGAAGGTACCTCTACACAGTACGTACCGTGCCTGGCGTCCAATTCTCATATCCAGGCCCTCGACACATTGCATGGTTCCTTGCAGCTGTTGAGAGGTTAGCCTGTGTTTACAGATGCAGTTCAGAAAATAGGCGCTTTCAGTCGTTCACACTGCGACATGCACCGATTTTACATAGTAGACTACTTGGGGGGTTCTGGGCGCCAAGTTTTAAGACACCTCAAAACAGAAACATCGTGAGCTTCACAAAATACTGACAGGGTTGCGGAGCCTGAGGGAGCGGGCACACCCCCACGCGGAGCGAATTGATGCTGGCTGGCCACCCCTGCAAATCTGCCGTTCAGAATCGATGTACCCTACCTCTACGTACTATGTACGGCTCACCGATATGCGCACCATCCGTTCGGGTGCCCTGACATTGACACCAGACACCGACTTGACATGGGTACCTGTAATTTCGGGGTGCTTTGGCGCACAGGAACCTCTCTGATGCACACACTGTGGCCACGGATGGGAAGCCCAAAAAGTTCTTATGTTTTGTCACCGAGATAATTCGGGCGGTCCTGCTAGTGCGCTGAGATGGCAGATGGGACTGTAGGTAATACAGGCCCGAACCGGCAGCAGGTTATGCCGTGCCTCATGTGTCTGCTTTCGGTCGCTGATGAATGTAAAGATGTCGGCTTCAGGTGATGACTCATCATAAAATACATGCTTGAAAAAACGATGAGACGCTTCTTAGAAGAGGCCCTGGCAGACAGGTTGCATGGACTCCAGCCGAGCATCAACTCGCAGTCCTGAAAGGCTTGGGGTCCTGGAACCCAACTTGAAGTTGCAGTGGCCGACAACCAGAGGGACAGTGTAAACTATCCTGATGTTCACACTTGCTCGTCAGCCCCCGTTTCCTTCTCATGTCTGGAATGGGCAATATCACCGCCCGGGGACCTTTCGGATTCAGCCCGGCTTGTTTATCTTGGGCAGCTCACAGCCGGACACAGGCTCGGACTGTCACACAGCTGTAGAGGTAGCGACTCGGTCAAGAAACCCGAGTGCTCTGGCTCTTTTTGAGGCCCTGTACAGATTTTGCTATGGGGCCAATCGCTGCCTCAGTACACTACTGTCGGAGAGCCCCAAATGCCGACCACTAGGGTACCTAGAGGTAGTGATGAGGACTGGACACATAATTGTCGAGTTTCTGATGGTGGACCATCTTTGGCGCACATCTCACCCACCACCCTGGTCCGCCGTCCACCCACCCCTGTTGGTACCCGGACGCCAGTGACCTACCGCCCTACCTCCACGCCCACTCACCTGCTGGTGAACATCGACATCTGATCCATTTCCGATTCGCTGCAAATACCTAACAAGAGACGATTAGAACCACTTTGCCGGCCCAGCAAAGAGGGCAAACGCGGACCTGGACTAGCCACCCACGAGATAGCAGCTGAACACCTCAACAACACACCAGCATATCACCAGCAACGTCTTGGGTTGTCGGGATTCAACGTCCCCATTCTTCGTCACCACAAGACACGCCCGCCATCTTAGCATCGGACAAGGCCATGACCTGAAAACACTGGCCATCCCCATCCTCACGTGGAATGGCTGTGGTCTCCTAGTAGTTGGCATCTTTGTTCCGCTCGCCTCCCGCCGGTGACAATGACGAGAAATGACGGCGGCTCCCGCTACAGCTCCATCGACAGCGCACAATCCAGCATCACGGCGAAGCCATTTCCCTTGACGCCGACCAGCAGCCTGGGCAGCTCGATGACACGGCCGCTGTCCCCGTCGCTGCAAGCGGGCAGCAGTAGCAGCAATGGCGGCCACAATGTATCTCGGTCCGCCTCACAGGGTTCGCGCAGGCCCGCGCCGACGCGTTTGAAGACGGATGACGGCACCCAATTTGCGAGGTGAGTTGAAGCGAGCGACGCAGTCTGTTGTTTCCTGGGGGCTTCGTGGTTCTCGAGCGGTTCTGTGATACGGATACCTACCCAGTCTTGCTTGCACAGTCCTGTCCTGTCACCGCAACTATCCGGAAACCCCGTTCTTCTTTGCCGTCCCTTCCTGTTACATGTCAACCCTGTTCTTGCCCTATTTTCCTGCAGTTCAAACTAACGGGTGCATGCGTCGGCCGCCCATCTACAGCAGGTCATCGAGAGATTTCGAGTCGTCGCAGTCCCAGTCGCAGCCGTCGCATACGCAGACGCGGTCGCACTCACTGTCACAGGCCACGCTTCAATCATGCTCGCAGCCGCAGTTGTCATTGAATTCCCAGCAGTCTCAATCCCCTTCTCAGTACTACTCGCAGCAGACGCCGACACAGCAACAACCACAGCAACAAGTATCGCCCACGGGGGGCTCGCGCCTGACCCAGTCGCCCACTACACCGTCCAATGCGTCTATCCGCGAACACAGAATGAGCGAGCTGGGGGGATATCGTCGTGAAATGGCGGCGATGTTGGACACCACAGGCGGCGCATTGAGCCGAACGTCATCGCACAGTCAGCAGCAGCCGCAGCAGCCGCAGCAACAACAACAACAGCAGCAGCAGCAGCAGCAGCAGCAGCAGGGTCACGCTGCAGGATCAGTTTCGGGTACCTTCAGCAACCTCGGCCAGTACGCACCGTATCTGGGGGGAAACAACGGCGGCGGGATGTCCATGGGCAGCTTCCTCAATGACTCTACGGACAATCTGTCGGTAATATCGCAGCTATCGCCGGGCATCCGGCCGATGACGGCACGGCCTTCGCAGGCGTCGGCAGGCAGCATGGAGTTTCCGGATTCGGCATACTACGACGATGAGCGGCGGCCGTCGATTGCTTCAATCACGACGACGGCGAGCAGCCAAGGGTCGCGGACTTCCAAGACCCGGGGCGGGCTACAGAAGCTCCAGCAGTTTTTTGGCGATCGGGACGATTGGCCTGGCCGAGATTCGTCGGAAATTAGCCTGCCCCAGCCGAGTCACTCGGGCCCCATGTCCACAGGGAAGGAACACCGATCACACTCTTACAGCCTACCAGGCAGCGGTCGCTCGCACCGGGACCGCAACTACTCCAATGCCACCGATCACCATCCCTCCACCTTTGGCTCCGTCTCGACTGTCGGCGGGCGAGATAGGGATGCCTCGCCCGTGCCCTCGAGGCCGCGAACCCCAGTGCCTGCGCCCGAAGTTGTGCCGTTTCTGTACCAAGAAGCCGACGTACGTATAGCCTCGCTCTCTCTTTCTCTCTTTCTCTATTTTTGTCTTTTTTTGTAATTTACTGTTTTCGATCTCCCCTTCCCCCTCTTCTCTCTCACCCCCTCACCCTCTTCCCCTCTCTCGTAATGTGTCGTGGTGGTAGCTTGGTAAGAGATACAGGAGCAGTAGTATCCCTAGGGGTATCCTACGCTACCTATACCTACTACCTACCTACCCTCGCTTGACCCCATATCCACGCCTCGCCAAATCTTATCTCTGGCCTTCTCTTTCCTATCTCCACCCCGAGCTATCCCGTTTGGGAATCGCGAATTGGATGAGTAGCAGTGGGATCAACATTGGCAATGGCCGCCGGCCGTCTCATTCTTTGCTCCAAACGCAACCCTCGTTTGACGCTTCCTGCAACATGTCGGCGGTGAGATGATCCCTCCTGCCATTTTCCGTATTCA